GTGCTACTATTGTATCATTTGATGCTGACTTCCTAAACCAGGTACGTGCTATAACCATTAAAGATTCAGTAGCCATTGATATCAAGCAACGTACCAATGACGACAAGTTCAAGGTGGAGGGAGATCTTTTATACTTTGAAGAGCGATTGTACATTCCAAAAGGACTAGCACGACTCCGAGTTCTTCAATCTCGCCATGATTTTCCAGCTGCGGGACATTTTGGATTCAACAAGACCTTGGAGCTTATTTCCCGAGATTTTTGGTGGCCCCAAATGTGGAAGGATGTGAAAGATTTTGTCCTCTCTTGTGACATCTGTTCAAGATCTAAGAATCCTCGGCATCGCCCTTATGGACTTCTACAGCCATTGCCAATTTCATGTCGACCATGGTCTTCAATTTCTATGGACTTCATCACGGACTTGCCATCATCAAACTCATTTGACAGCATCTTTGTCATGGTAGATCGACTTACGAAAATGGCACACTTTGTTCCTTGTAAGAAGACATCGTCCAGTGAAGTCACAGCAAGACTCTTTCTCGATAATGTGTATCGATATCATGGACTACCAGATGATATCATATCAGATCGAGGTACCCAGTTCGTGTCAGTTTTGGAGATCTTTCTTTGGGATATTGAAGGTGGATATCAAGCTTTCTTCAGCTTTTCATCCTCAAACTGATGGCCAAACGGAACGGGTGAACTAAGTCTTGGAGCAGTACTTACGATGCAGCATCAACTATCAGCAAGACGATTGGACTGCATATCTACCGCTAGCCGAGTTTGCATATAACAACACCCTCCATGCGTCGACTCAACAAACACCATTCTTTTCCAACTATGGGTATCATCCGAAGCTTGATTTATTGAGTCCATCAACAAATAACAATCCAGCAGCTGAAGGATTTGCAAAGCAACTATCAGAGCTTCAAACTATGTTGAAGCTTCAATTACAATCCGCTCAAGAATCCTATAAGACGTCTGCAGATAGATTTCGGAATCCAGCACCTACTTTCAAAGTTGGAGACAAAGCCTGCCTTCTTCGACGAAATATCAAGACCAAGCGACCATGTGATAAGTTGGACTATCAAAGATTGGGACCATTTATCATCCAGAAGCAAATTAATCCAGTGGCATACCGGCTGGAGTTACCGGCTTCTATGAAGGTACATCTAGTCTTTCATGTTTCTCTGTTGGAACCTTATCGAGAGTCATCTTTTCCTGGAAGAGTGCAATATCCGCCACCTAGTATTGAAATCGAGAACCACGAAGAATACGAGGTTGAAAAGGTATTGGATTCATGGCGAAGGTGGGGAAAGTTAGAATATCTTGTTCATTGGTGCGGCTATGACATTAATGAGCGAACGTGGGAGCCAGCTGAAAATCTTGTGAATGCGCCACAAAAAGTACAGGAGTTTCATCAACGACATCCCGATAAACCTAAATCAATTCGATGATAGCTTCTTTCTGAAGCTTGTTCTCCCAACAATATAAGAAAAGGGGAGAGCACCAGCAAAATTCATAGTTGATGTAGTTATTTTCTCCAAGATAGATCGTAGTTTGGTCTTTTGATATGGATAGCCAAGAGATAGATACTATGACAGTCAGAGTATCACAACCGAATAGCTCACGAAGGCGACCCCGAGATGAAGAATTACATGTACCACGACGACGACGGAGGATACCGAGTAACCGATCACTGGTGATCGTATTTGACATCGAGCCTGCTTACGATGGTCAACCAGAAGGCGTATTTGCAGGACAATTTCACAATGAGGACACAGAATTTCATGCTTGGTCAGAAGTCGAAGGCGTGGGCCACTACCGTTGGCTTCAAGGGTCGATGAACCACTTGCCTCGTGAACAACAGTTGGAATTCATAGCAGAAGTTATGCGACAGATCTTCATTTTCTTGCGTTGGTACTGATCAACAACATTGCTTTTCAGAGACCTCGAAGCTAAAGGAAGGGGTGATGTTAGGGACATATTCCTTAGAACTTTCTAGAGAGAAGTTTCTAGAACCTTCTAGAAAACAAGCCTCTGGAACCTTTTAGAAGAGAAGCCTCTGGAACCTTTTAGAGAGAAGTTTCTAGAAGCTTCTAGAAAAGAAGTCTCTGGAACCTTCTAGAAGAGAAGTTTCTAGAAGCTTCTAGAAAGGAATCCCCTGGAACTTTCTAGAAGCTTCCTAATTAATAGAAGTAGCTCGAGAAGTTTCTAGAACCTTCTAGAAAGGAAGCCTCTAGAATCTTCTAGAAGCTTTCTAGTTAATAGAAGTAGCTCGAGAAGCTTCCTAAGTAGGAGTATATATACGGATCGAGGGTGAAGAGTTCTTCAGTCTCGACAACACATCTCTTGGAGTTCTAGCTCACCTTTCTGGTGTTGTTCTTGTACTCATCTGTTTAATCTAGTTCTGCCACTTCTTCTTGAACTTCTTGTTAGATTTCAAGTCTGTATTTTGTGTCCGTGACACTTAGTAGCACATGAATCTATAATCCACTTTGAAATAGCAGCCATAGAGGTTCCTTCCCTTGCCATGAAAGCATACTCATCTCCACCAAAACTATCACTAGCATTGTTTGCATTCTCTCTATCTCCTTTCTTGGCCTTGTAGCGATTTCTAACAAAATGACATGGTTTTCCACAAATATAGCAATTTCTCATATTACTTTTTGAATTATCACGTTGGTGAGAATAGCTATCTTTGTCTTATCTTGAAAATAGAGGCAAATTATCACTTGCAAGCTCCTTTTCTTTCTTCTTGGTCACTTCATGTGCAAGTCTTGACATGACATAGTTCATAATAAGTTCCTTCATGTTGATGGACTCCAATGCGACAATGAAGTAGTTTTAGGATTTGGAAAGGCTCATGAGCAATGTCAACACAATGTCCTTATCATCAACTGGTTTGTCAACAATTGTTAGTTGGTTAGTAAGTACTTTTACCTTGTTAACATGAGCCATGAGATCATCTCCTTCTTCCATCTTTACTGACAAGAACTTCCTCCTTGTCCAAAGGATGTTAGAAAGGTTTCTACTTTCATAGATGTTGCAAAGAATCTTCCATACTTCCGCTGGTTCATTACAAGCTATAACATGTGAAAAATTGGCATCATCAAGGTTTGTTGCAATCATCCTAAAAGCCTTCCTTTCACGACGTTTGTACTCCTTCTTCACCTTGATATCAGCATTGTCACTTGGATGGTCTTCACTTTCATCAACAATGTTCCAAAGGTCCAATGAAGCCAACAAAAGCTCCATTTTCTTCTTCCAATGGTAAAAGTTATCACCTCTAAACTTTTCAATTATTCTCAAGCTCTCACCTTTACTTGAAGCCATGTCTAGGGAAGGGATGTGTGAAAGAAAATCAAGAAAAGAGAAGATAGAACTCTCAAAATCAACAAGAAGGTATTGCTGCCTTAAAAACCTAGAATGCCCTCTTTCTAATTATACAAGTGATTTCACTCTTGTATCACTCTCAACTTCACATATAAGACTTCTCACAAATCTTATACTCTATCTAAACCTCTTGCATAAGCTTTGCCACTCTTCAATCACCCTTCTAACTACACAAAATACTTCTTATAATAATAGGAAAATCTCTTATGAAATTAAGTATATGAAAGCACAAAGTTAGAGCACCAATGATGAAACTCAACAAAGAAATACAATATTCAAGTTCTAAAACATCATTAAATGGAGTCTAACAACAACAAAGACTATCAATGCACTTAACAACAAATAAGAGCAAAAACTACATCAACAACTAGATGTATAATAAGGGTTAGAAGAGAGCAAACTCAAATTTCAGCAACAACTATAAGATCTATTCCTCACAACAAGAAAGACTTCAAAGTACTTCAAAACTCACAAGTAAAGGTGAGTGGACCCATAACCTATTGAAGAACAAGCACTTTGAAGACACAACACTTAGCATCAGCAAGGTTGCACATAAAGAGAGTATGGAATAAGATGTCTCTCACTTCCAATACCCAGTACTTATAGGTAATGATTGTTGCCCTAAAAGACAACTTCCACTCTTTGACTTTTACACACTTGGCCCTAGGATCCTTTTGGCATCTCATGAGCCTCGAGGGTATCCTATGACACATACTAATGACTCATACTTAGTCTTTGGATATTTCTTTATTAATACTTTATCCTTTTGACTTTGACTCTTTATCCATGACTTTGTTCTATATCCATTGGATACCTTTACCATATACCAAGAGTCAAACCTTTGACCACTAACAACTTACCTAAGTTAATATCCTCTATAAGGTAACTTATTCTACTTTTACTTTAACACAATCAATCATAGTATGAAGTGGCCTTAACTAAAAATACAGACTACATAGTGTGACATGTAGAATAATAAAGATACAACCACACAAAATCCATCTGATAAATTTGGAACAAACAACCACATTGAATTATAATGAATTGTATGTTTGAAAGCTTCAAATTACACATGTAAAAGATACAAGACTATACACCACACCATGTCACAAACTTAATTAAACATCATACTTAATAGCAATTTTCGACAATCAATTCAATCGCCAAAAACCCAAAAGAGAAAATTCTTACTCACTCACTCTGTTGATTGCATGATAAAGAAAAGTAGACGGAAAGAATAGGTGGTGAGATGAGACAACAATAAGGCAAAGTAAAGGAAGGACGGAAGCGGGGACGGTCCGTCACGCAGTGCGCATCGTGTCGGTGGGTTCATGGCGAAAAATCTCTCACAACCCCCGCACAGACAGACAGAGAAGATTTGCAGCGATGGCACCACGTTGCGGGAGATGCGCGCAGGAGAAGGAATTGCGCAACATCCAGGCATGGGGGGAGGGGGGATAGATTCCTCGGCGGATGGCAGCGATGGACGAGCATGGCGGCGCTTCCTGCACGCGTCTTCCACCTCACACCCTCCTCCCCTTCGTCGCAGCGACGCCCCTCCTCTATCCAGCTCCCGACAAGTGTACCTCGGTTGGTCGTGCATTCTCCGAACCTGCTAAAACAGTCGTCAACGTGAATTGTCAGCAAGATTGAGGATCAGTCTTGGTTCCATTTCTCGGGGTCGCAATTGTGCGGGGGAGCTCTGTTCTTGTGAAAGATGTGCAATCCGTCTGGTGTTGTGGAACTTTGGGTTGATCGTAGAATGGACGGTGCGGTAGAGTACGTTGGGTTTGGGGTTGCTTTCTCTTGTTGCTAAGTGGGTTTATCGATTTATGTGTCTTTGAGTGAATGTTCATGTATATAGTCGTGTTTTTCTTTTTTTGTATTATTATTATTATTATTACTTAAGTTCAGAAATGTTGAATGAGGTGGAAAGTTTAATTGCTGGAGCATCTTCGGAATAACGCTTTGTTCGGTGAGTGTTTCGCACGTAATGGGTGATCTAATGTGGTTACACAGTGATGCGTTGGTCAAGTTTTGATTACCGCGAAATTTCATTTGTGGTTTGGTTGTAGAATTGAGTGCAGCTCGTGATGTTGTTCATATTCGGGTTTAGCGCTGTATGATCTTTGGTTTGACTTAGTTTTCTGCATTTACCGATGTTTTGATGGTTTCTGGATCTTCACAAAGTTGTTGGCATTCAGATCGCGTGCTTCTAGCTCCTTTCATCTTACGTTTCAATGAATTAGTTGGAAGAGGGAGTTGCAAACCGCAACAAAAAAGGAGTGACGCGGGAGATTGATGGTTAGGTTGAACCTGTTCGCAGCTTTGTGGCTTCAACAAAACTTTGCGTGCCTTTAGGTGCGATTTAGGGCATCATCGGCCTTTTCACTATGGCTAGGATATCTTTCGCGAACCGGCAGGATCTTGGTCCTTCGCTGTGCTCTTCAATGACTCAAGAATGTTATCCCAACCTAATACCCCTCCTCTTCTTTGACTTTATCTGTTGAAGAAATCTTTGAGTAAGTTCTTGACTCATATCCTCGGTTCGCATTCTGCTTTATTCCTTTAAAAACAATTCCATGAACTTTACCTTGCCTTACATTTTGTTCGGCTGGTTCTGGTGTAGGATCCTGGGCGCTGGCTACCGGCACTAGAAATCGAGCACAAAAAGTACTGTGAGACCATTCGAAGCAGCTCAAATATTGCACAATTGATACAGGCAAGTACGCAAGTATGGATCCAATAAAAGAGGGCTCTCATGAGAGGAGCTTTGGCAGCAGTCACAGCGGGCAATCAACTGCTGAGTTGAATGAGCAACTGGCACAGCTCAGACGGGAACTTGAGCTCTTAAAAGCATCCAAAACTAGAACCCATGTGACGTCATATCCGGATGAATCAGTTCGAAGCCAACAGGTTCGGGAGCAGGCCGAGTTGCCCAGGCAGGAGAGGCTGTTAACTAGCAGATATTCTCGACGCTCATTTCAGGATGCGCGTACTTTGTCCCCCACCTCTCAAGCCAATTTACATGCTTCGAGAAATGAGTACCAACACCAAGCTCCAGTCCCCCACGAGGACATATCTTCTCAGATAGGTTACGCTGGAGAAGAGTCCAGTGCACACAAGTATGTAATTGAAGCTCCGTTTGGTGTGAAAACAATCTCCCGGTCGATAACCTCCCGGTCGCAGAGCCTCCCAAAGCCATCTGCACCTCCAGGAGCATCTACTCGAAGTCTTGCGCATTCCTTGAGTACCCAGGTAGACAGAGATGCGAATACTATCAGGCAAGATAGAAATCTGTTGCGAGATTCACCTCTCAAAACTGAACATCGAGATTCTGGTGCGCCATCTCCTGAAGCTCTACAGGGTCCCGGAATGTTTCACATGCTCGGACAGGAGAAGGAGAAGCTTATGGCTAGTAGGGTGACCCCATCATTCTCGGATGAGGTGCCTTCTGGGACTGCTGACAGGATGCATCCTGCAGCACGGCGTCCCTCCATCGTTCGCCAGGCGAACAGTAATCCGCTCTCATCTGAATCAAGGATGTCTTTGAGCACGCTCAAGGCGATGAAGGGGAAAAATGAGCTTGAGATGCCAAAAGCCAGTGAAGCAGAAATTCCTGCCATATCCAACCGAACACGTCAGGTGTTGGAAGAGCTTGAGAAATTGAAACGAGAGAATGCGATGCTAAAGTCGAGCAAAGCTAAAGAAATGGACAGTGCGCAACAGCGTCTAGCCTACTTTGAACAAAATCATGCTGCGGCTTCCAAAGTCCGCATGGTTGAGATCAAGAAGATGATAATCAAGAGCCAGGAATTGGATCTGGCGTTTTTAGTGGATGCAACGGGCAGTATGCAGGTATCGCCTTTAATCACTTCACAATGCTCAGTTCCTGTGGAAATGGACCATTTGAGATTATCAATTCAGGTCATAGTTTTGAAAATGTATATCATGAAAGTTTTGGCGTAACACTATTCAAACTTGGTCTTTGGCTCTGTTGTGTTGAGTAGTTACAGAGCTATGCAATCAAGTGGTTAATGTAGCGTGTAAATCTCTGGCCGTCCGAAGGGTTTAGAAAGCTTTAGTTGCTCGCTTAATCTACCATCAATTCAATTGGGACTCAATTGCGCCTGGATTGAATCGTAGTTTTGTTTATGATTGGATTGGCAGGTCTTTTTTCTACTCTGGTTTTTAGAGAGAATAAATTCAGTTGCTGGCTATTAGCTTATGAAGTCTATTAGGAAGAATCCTTCTAGTTCATTATTCTCTTAAGACAACATGCTGAAAGAAGTGAATTTTGTTTTCCAGTCGAGCATTGACATGATCAAGACCACTGTGACCACTATGGCATCTGGAATAATGCAGTCGTATCCAGATTGTAAGCTGCGTGTAGCCTTTGTACCTTATAGGGACTACGAGGACACTGCTCAGGACGACAGGGAGATGCTGGATTTCACGACGAGCTTCTCTGGCCTCGAGAGTGTCTTTGTTCAAGCATTGTCTCGGGTGCGCGCCGTAGGGGGTGGAGATGACGCAGAGGATGTATTCACAGGAATTGCTCGTGTCGCACAGTTGAGCTGGGTTGCCCCGAACCGTGTGCTCTTTCACATCGCGGATGCACCGTGTCACGGTCTTAGTTTCCATGATGGAGTAGGGGATCTCTACCCAAACGGAGACAAATATGGCCGAACAATTAATGCCCAGTTTCGAATCCTGCATGAAGTTTGCCACATCTCCACGTATTTCTTCTGCCACTTAAACAGCAGCACCAAAAAGATGATTCGAAAGTTTAGGGAAGCAGCTGGAAGCTCCTTGGATATTCTAGAGGAACAATTTGTAAACATCAGCAATATCCCACACAAAGTGATAACCTTGTGTCGTGGTACCATCCAGAAGACTCTGAGCGTTGTCAATGCACAGAACCCCATTGTTGATGTTCAGTTCGTGCGTGAAGACGTGATCAAAGGGGTGCCATCTTGGGCACAGGTTCCAGAGCAATCTGGGGTTCACTTTAGATGCAAGTAAGTTTCTGGCTTGTGGCTTGGCTTCATTCTGAGGGAAGCGTTGAGAGTTTTTCTTTGGTTGTAACACATTCAAGGCCTTTCATTGATAGCGTCGTTGGAGTGCTGATGGGCGTTTAAATTTGTTTCTCACGAATCTAGCATGAAGAAGTCATTTGCAGGAATTACTCTAAACTCTGGATGGTTGGCAAGGAGGTGTATCAATGTTGAAATAAGTCTTTCAGTGATGGAATGCAGTCATAAATTCTCTTTTCAATTGAGGAAGGAACGCTCGGTTATAGTTTTCGATAAAGACCTCAGGTTAAAGGTGGAGACAATTCTTGCATGAAAATTCTGTTGATGGTAATGATTTTTCATTGGTCGACGCAGATGGTACCGGGCGCTAGATGATATGCTCAGCAGAATAAGCAATCACATGGCTTTAGAGGAGGAATCCATGGACCATATTCAAGTTCAGATTGCTAAGCATCCGTTCAGTGACGAAGGGGCTGTCAGATGGCCTTACCACGCACTCATCACGTATCCGAATGAGTCTCCCCGGTAAGTACCCCATTGTTCTTTCGAAAGATCTGATCACATTGTCCGATTAAGAAATGTTCCAACTTAATTGATCACATTTTAGGATGATCAAGTGAGGATGTTGATTCTGATTCTTGTTTGTTCCCTTTGCAACAGGTCCATGGTAGTCAAAAGATTTAAAACGCCTCTTGGAAAAGATGTTCGAGAAATTCACAAGCGGGAGCGATACTGGGCACAAATGGAAGTGCAATCAGTATCAGCACACATGGCCAACGAATTCAACAAAATGTACATTCTTTCAGTCTAGCCTTTTCGATATCTCTAAACTTTCTGCACATTCAAGATTTTAATTTTTTTCAGTCGAGGATAATCTTAAGAAGTTTGATTTGTGCAGTTTTAATGGGGTGCATAATTGGGTACAGCCTTGGTTTCCCTTCTTTTCGTGAGTATAAAATTCCACGTGAGGTTCTCACCAACAACCTTGATACTTACTTTACATTCGCCACTTAATGAATAAACATTTCTTGCAGAACATCGAATATGAAGAATGTTAAGAAGGTTGAGTTTACTGAAGTGACAACACTAGAGGTTGGTTCTGGTTCAAATATCAAATTCTACAATATGGAAAGCTTGTTGGAGGGAGAGTGGATGCGTTATTCCAATAATGGCGGCTACGTCAATACGCTGGATTATGCTGCTGTTCTTCAAGCGTTCACGCACTGGACACATGAGCGCTCAAGGGGTCTGTTGATGGTTACGGATCTGCAAGGTGTAAGAATGACGAACTTGTTTGGTGAGAATGTGTTTTGCCTCTGCGATCCTGCAATTCACTGTACTGATGTAATGCGTTTCACTCGTACTAATCTAGGCGCCGAAGGCTTCAAGCTATTCTTTGAAACACACAAGTGCAATGATGTTTGTGAGAAATTGAGGTTGGCAGTAGGAACTGCAGGTCGTACCCTGTCGGGCACAAAGGTAGGCAGTTACTGGTGATAATTTAAACATAACTTCTCAAGATTTGTCGTAACAACTTGTATAGAAATTTGAAGTGGGTCACTTCAGAGAACAGTTTTTGCTTGCCACCCATCACTTCCAGCACTCTTGACGAGCCCTGAAGATCCATGTTGACCCAAAAGTTGGTAGAAGATACTTACATGACAATTCTAGCTTGTAGGAAGTGAAAGAAAGACTTGCAGCAGCATGGGGACTTTCAATCAATGCGTCCTTACTCTGCTTTGTTCCAATAAAATCCCACATTCAGGATCGATTCATACTGCTAGTACTTTCGAAACTTTGATAACGTGAATGTGATGCCATTCAATCTTTGTGTGCTCAAGCTGTTATGCAATTGCTATTAAGCAGGTTGACTATGACTTAGCGCATAAACCCCCAGCCTCTAGATCATTGTTCGTCCAACTTCGTAAACTCTTGTACCATTTAGTCCTCCTTCACAATCATGCAAATGATATGTTTGCTTGCTAAATAAATGAGTAGATTTCGAATAAAAAATAGCTCACAAACAGTGTGACATTACCAAACTAGCGAAAAATTTGGATGGGTTAGTTTTATGTTGAAGTGGCTTGATATTGTTCTGTGCTCTGCCTTCAGCAGAAAGTCCTACTCATCACTTCAATTTGAAAGAAATGTCCTTAACAATAGAAAAACGATGTGTGAATTAGTCATTAGAAATTAGCGACGTAGAAATGTAAATGTAAGGTTGTATATGTACATTTAAAACTTTTTTAAAAAAAAATCTTATTCAATTTTGTTCCATTTCTAATTTAACTTGATTTCATGAATTTATCTATCAATACTGTCTTTACGGTTTAACTTTAGCTGTGATAATATGTCAGTCTGTGAATATAATGTGGACTTTTCTTCGAAGTTTATAATATCTATGAGTAAATACACAATGAAAAGAATAATAATTTGATCACCAAGTTATTATTTTATAATTTATCAGCAGAAAAAGTTGTGCGCACACTGATTTTATTATTACTTTTCATCTCTTCTTTTTCAAAACTTCGATAAATTCTTAATTTTTATCAGAAAAAACCAATGACCGCACACACAACATTATCAATGGAACTTAAGTAAAGATTATAAATTCATGTTAGTACATTTTAAGGTGAAAAATCTGTAACCACAACATTGTTTTTTCTCAACTTTGCCACACAAGATGAGGTTTTACAAAACACTTTTAGGAAATATGTATATTTATCCTGACTTGCCCACGCTTTTAAATTCAATAATGAATGGGCTCATCTGAACAGCTTTCCACACATCCTTCACAAGATGCACAAGATGGTTGAGCTTTACTATGATTTAAGTATGTAAAGTTTTACAAGCTGGAATGAAGCTCACATTCCTTGGGTGGCCGACCTCCGGATCCCCACAAATACACGCATGAATTCCTCTGCCGACCGCTAGAGAGAGGCGTCAATTCGTGACAAAAATCAGGGCTAAAAGCTCAAGTTTGGGCCATGCTTCAATTGAGCTTCCCGCCTTCAGACGATGAAGCTGAAGGCTTGTTAGCGATCTGCTCCGACTCCGATCATGGGTACGTCAGCCATTACACTATAGATGGATTATTGCAGTAAGCTGTTTCTACGGCATTGGCTTTTGTCTCGATTCATTTGGCTATCGGTGTAGGAAGTTTGGGAGCAGGCAATGATTGGATTCTTCCCCTTAGTTGAAAGTTGGTAATAACTTCATTCGGCACCAATGGGTATGATGATGTTGAGAGACTTTAGCGTGTGTGCTTAGTTCAATCTTATTGCAATAACAGCAGTTTTAGCTGTTATCGTTTTAGAGGGTTTAGGGTTTTGGGAGTGTATTCCACTAGAATTTTGGTGAGGAAAAGAAGAAGGCAGCTACAAGGAAGGATGAGGTATGTCTTACTTGATTACATTTTGGCACGTATTCTGGACCTCGAAATATTTGGGGTACTGTCGAATCTAGTTGGCTTTGTAGCAGGATGAAACCATGAGTTTGCAGTTATGATTGAATTGCAGTATATGCAGAAAACTCAAGTTGCGTACGCAAAAGATCATGCCATAGACGAAAGAAATGCTGAAAACATATTCCCATACGTTGATTCTTTCGGAACCCCGAAGAGAATACAGTGTTCTAACAACACGAACATCTTCGCATCAAGCACAAAATCGACATATAACTCGCACTCAGAAGTCGTTAGAAGGGTTCCTAAAACAAACATAAATTTTGAAGTTTGACGTTCATCAGTGAACATCAGCCATCGTAGATAATTTTGGGATTGAGAGAGCCTCAGCCATCACCGAATTCTGAATCTGAAGCCTTCAGGAGATAACGAACAAAGACCTTACTACGGAAGGTCCATTGGCTTTCTATACTTCTCTGTGTGAATATTTTACCACTCTTCGCTGCATTGCAACGCAAATCTACACAACCTCCGTCGAACACCGAATGCTGTGCACGTTGGCCATTCCTAGAGAAAATTACAAGGCCAACATCTGATCGGGGAAACCCTGCATCAGATTAACAAAAGTCCTAAAAAAATGATCCAGTGGAACCAAAATACGATTTCAGAAAGAATAAGATACATCTCGCTTAACCATAGCTTAGGCCTTTGTTCGGTAGTTATACAGCTTCCCCACCACATGAAGACAGGTCACAAACCCAATGAAGCAGAGACTCATTACAAGAACAACAGTTGGGGTGATCTTCAATCCAGGAGCGTCGTCAGTATAGAACCGCAACATGTTGCTGTTCCCACTTCTGTATGAGCCACTTCCACTGCCACTACCGGTCGACGTGGTCCGCCTCCTCCTCAGGCCCGAACCGCCTGTACCCTTCGGAGGCGCTCCCGCAGAGGCTGATCTGGGCAGTGCAGCACCTGCGGCGCTGCCTCTGGCCGAAGACGCCGTCGTTGACGCCTGGCTCTGCGAACCCTTCGTCATAGTAGATCCCTTCTCCTCACCCGCGAGAAATACCCTCGAAACAGAATCCGCACCAACCCTGAAACTCAACGATTCAATACAATATCAGAATCTCAAATCGACAATGCGCTCCGACACAACATTCAACAAATACAGAACCTCCAAAGCTTCAAAACACCCCATACCAGCTTCACAAACTTGGACCTCTCAAACTCTAACAAATGCCACCCAACTCCGTCAATGTCTTTGCAAAACACACCAGAACAAGCGCAGAAAAACCAAGGGCGACTGCAGGGGAAACATACACAAACAGATCGAGTGTTAAAGTAAGAGATCGATTCGGAAGCGCATGAGAAGACGAGCTTTGATCAAGATTGAGCAATACGTAGACCGAGATGGTGTGAAGGTTTGAAGGGCGGGTAAAGGCCACCGATCCACGCTCATGGATTCTCTTCTGTGATGTCACAGCGCTGGTGCCCGCGTCCTCGTAGCCAATGGGAACAGATGTCTCCTCTCTTGCGATTGGTGGGGGACCTATTCGCGCGAACTGGTGCACCACTTATCGCCGCAACCAATAGGAAAGCTGGCATGTAGTCAACACCCAGCTAGACCAATTCCATAACTAATGAAATAAAAAATGATAAAAAGTAAAAGTATATTATGAAAAGTGGGACAGTGTGAATAAATACGAAGTTTCAGTGTGCAATTGGAAATATGAATCGAGATTAAAGTATGTATGTACACACACACACACACATATATATATATATATATATATATATATTTATTCAAAGAGAGAGAGATTTAAGATTCTAATTTCTCATGGTGGGGTAGTTTTAGAAACCCATAAATTATATATGCATATATGTATGTATCCATTTTCTTTTCCTTTAGCCTTTTCTGAAAAACCAAGTGCATCATGTTGTAAATCTTCGTTGAAATTATACTTGAACTATTTCCAAATGGAAATCGATATTTTTCTATTGTTGAAGAGAAATTTTTACGCCACATGTTTCTTTTGGATGTTCTTAGTACTTCAAATATCAAACACAAAATAATAACAATACACGCATATACACATACGTACAAGCAAAAATACTTTGTTCCAAAAATTACGTACACCTTTTTTGAAAAAGTAGTTCGGAGACTGGCAAGATGCAACGCGCGGTTCTACCCGTCCTCCTCGACGACGGAAGAAGAGAAATCCATGAATCCCACCCCAAAGTCGATGCTCATGGACCCTTCCGATGCACAGTTTCCCCTTGAACCCTTCATAATCTTGACTACAAACGCGACCACCCTTCACCCATTTTCAGCAAAAGCGTGTTTGCCTGCTAAGCTTCGGAATGAGGGTTTCACCAAAGTAGCCAGTCGGCGTCGACGGAAGACCTCACTACGTCGCCTTCCACTTCGGATGTTGGCAAAACCCACAAAATAATTCTTGGAATTTGTGAAGGTAGAGAGAGCTCTACTCAGTTCTTCACGACTAGAATTGTTGAAACATCAAGAGCACTTGAAACCACGGAATGCCTGGTTTCAAAACTCCCCTACGACTTGATGTTTATTTAATAAGAATTCCCCGATTAGAATACTGTAATTATGATACTGTCCATGTCATTGGGACTTATAACAAGTAAAGTTTGACAGAAAATATAATGCAATGAGAGCAATTTTCATACATCGCCGCCTGGCCCGTTCCTTGGATTACTTCGCAATCAAGCCACAATGAGACCTCGTTTAAGATCTCGTTAAGGACGTGGTTGAGGATCTTAACGGGAACCCTAACCTCACGACGGACGGCCGATCGGAATTATTTTTTGCCCGTTCACAGTTCGTCATTGTTCCTGGTTTTCGATAGATCAGCTCATCGGAGCCCAATTTCTTCTGTCCAGCATCAGCTCTAGATTACTGTCTTCGTTGAAATGGATTTTTCCAACTTTCAAGCACCGGGGATGTACCCGTATCACGCCTCTTCCTCTTCCAAACAAGCGGAGAAGAGCTATGTGGACCACCCCATTATGGGGCCTCACAACAGCAGCTTCACGCTCATGCCCGAAGCTCCTTCCAAGCATACCAAGTGCGTACTCAATCGCCACTCTCACGAAGCTATCTTTGATCAGTCTCCAGTTGGGTTTTGAGAGTTTCTGAGGCTTGAAGTTGCTGTATTGGTTTTTTTTTTTTTTTTTTTTTTTTTGCATGTGTTGCTGAGTGTTGTGCATTTGTGATTGGGATTGATCGGTAGGTATCCATATGTAACTGGTACATCGGTTTTGGGAGTCAAGTACAAAGATGGTGTTCTTCTGGCTTCCGACACAGCAGGTGGGTTCTAGGTTTTGGACGAACGATTTTTTTGTTTTTGTTTTTGTTTTTATTTTTTTAATCTTTTATTCATTTACTTACTCATTGTTATTTTTTTCATCAAAAATTAGGACAATTCTAGTTTGCCGAGATTTGTAGATTCTGCTTTCGTGGTGTACTGGGGCGTGCTGAATTGTGTATATCGGGGAATTCTAACTTTGTCGTCGATTTGTAGCATCATATGGTTCAACTGTGAGGTACAAAAGTGTGCAGCGCTTGAAAGCTGTAGGCAAGACCACTGCTCTCGGTGCCAGTGGCGAAATAAGCGATTTTCAAGCAATTAATGAGTTGCTGGACCAACTCATGTAAGTTCTTTCTGAGGTGAAATGTATCGATTACGACCAGGTTGTTCAGGTCTCTCAGTTGGCCCGCTAGGGTATAACTCAGTGTTTGGTTGGACATGTTTCGATGTCCCTGTACATCGTGTGTCGAATCTATGCTTACTGTTTAGAGTCGGTAAATGTTATGGGCTATTAAATCTTACCTTTTTGGAATTGAGTATTGGGATGATGTGCATTTCAGTACCAACGATTACATGTGGGACGACGGTAACAACCTTGGACCGGTGGAGATCCACAATTATCTAAACCGCCTCATGTATGGACGCCGCAACAAATTTGATCCTCTTTGGAATAGCCTTGTCCTTGGTGGAGTTAAAAACGGGCAACAGTATTTGGGTGTTGTATGTACCTTACTACCTCTGAGATATGTCAAATTTCCACCGTTATCTATGTTCTTTGCTATTCGTCAACCGTCGCGGGTTTTGGCTTGTTTTCCTCGTGTTTGGCCTATGTGCATATGCTTCTTGCAAGATTAGGGGGACGTGCGGTTGGATTTTTAGCCCACGTCCATGATTATGTCTTCTGCACCTAACTACAGCAGATCCCTAATGAACATGGTTGCGTAGTTGCGGTCATGACGATCTATTTCAAAGGAATCGGAAGTTGCTGATTTGATCTTACAGAATACAGTCGGGACAGTTCCTGAAGTTAGTTATTATGCTGAAATGCAAAGAATCTACTACATCTATTTCAGTGGTTTAGAGAAAGCCCTACAACATGTTCGCTTCTACTTTCTGTGTCCACTTTTAACCATTAAACTCATGCCTATGTCCTACATATGTCGTTTCCATACCATGTATTGATTTTTCATTCCTTAGATTGGTGTACTGTCTGTAATTACCGATTATGTTGGGTAACTAGTTAAGGCATCTGTCTTCGACGAGGTTTTCTTCCCAGTTGAACTCTATGTTGAACATGTTTTAACATTTCGTTTATTATGCTTGAATGTTGACCAGGTTACAATGATTGGTGTTCATTATGTGGATGATCACGTGGCCACTGGGTTTGGTAACCATCTCGCCCGGCCTATCTTTCGAGATGAGTGGAGAGCAGATATGACTCATGAAGAAGCCGTTGCACTCCTGGAGAAGTGCATGCTCGTCTTGTTCTATCGGGACCGATCTGCTATCAACAAATTCCAGGTTCGTGCCTCCCATTCTCTACCCATTTTTGTGTTCCGAAATCCACTTCGAAAATTCTCCTGATTTGATGCCACCATGTATTTAGTATGTAAAATTTTGGTATGCGATTGCAGATTGCAAACGTGACAGAGGCGGGAGTCCACATATCTGAGCCCTATGCACTGCAGACCAACTGGAGTTACAAGGCATTTGAGAACCCTACAGCAGGGGCTGTGGGGTCTTGGTAGATTAAATGTGCACTCCCTAGTTTTCAGTGCGTTGTTCATTCTGTGAAAATGCTGTCATTCTGATCGACCAGGGATATACGGTCGTCCTATGAATAGATCACCTGCCCTTGCTGGTATAAATTTTCCAGCTCATTGTCCCTACAGCTTTTGTGAGAAGATTATGAGTCCACGTTCTATAGTTTGTTGATTGATATTGTCCACATGCACATCTCATGACGTACGCTAAAGATGCCATAGATAACGCAGACGAGATATGCATTTGATACTTTGAAACACTCAGGATGTATATTTAAGCAAGCCACATTGTAACATTCCGTATTTTCCGCAACATAGTACATGATAGTAGGGTATCACAAAGCTGAGGAACTCTATTTTTGAAGCGCAAAAATTTGAAAAATGCAGTTGTTGCCGAGGAAGGGACAGTGCGACTTGTGATTCTTGACAATTACTGGTTGGTTGACGGGAGATTATCTGCATGAATTTAGGCAGTTATTGTATTCCTGCAATTCTTTTGCTAGAAAATACACATCAACTATATAGAAATTTTCATAGTCACAAGCTTAAAATTTTAAGAGGTATTACAGCCATGAAGGTTGTGTAGCTGTCGTCCTTCACTCCTGAACTAAAGAATGATGGTGAGAAAGACTGATTTTATGCAATAGCACGACTAAGATATATTTATAATCGACAGTTTTTCTGATGGGTAGTGACAATTCATGTCAACTTTGAAATCTCAGAGTAGCAAACAGGTCACTTGAAGAAGATCGAAGAAGTTTGAGCTGCGTCAACTCCTTGCCGGAGAGTAGCGATTACTTCAGCAGGATCCTTAGCCCCAAAGACAGCGCTCCCTGCTACAATACAATTAGCTCCAGCCTCTGCTGCCTGCTTGATGGTAGCTGGAGCCAAGCCACCATCCACCTGGAAAATTCCAATAAAGGTGCAAACTCAGCAACACTCTTCGAACTCGGCTCACATGAAGCTTAGAAAATCGAATTCTGCTCATGATCCTTCGCCTCTATAGATAGATATATATATCACCATTTAACCGCGAACTACAAAATCCAATCTGGCTAAACAAGAGGACGCAAACATTTGGCATTCATAATGCGTTTTCTACATGAATTGTATGTTGGTCAAGTACCTCAATATCAAGGAGCGGAAACTTCCGTCGCAAAGCATTCACCTGTTCAGAAACCAAGATTGTGCCGCCATTTTAAGTTGTGAAAACAATAAGTGCGGACATACACGATCGATCTTGATAGCTTTATTTAATTGCAGTTTAATTGGGACTAATTAAGCTCAATAATGGTAAATTATCTTCTGCCAAATTCCATGATAAACCAACTGATCTGCAAAATCCGTACTACGAACTCTGGGCTATTTAAAATTGCTTGAAGACGGGACTTGACAGCAGTTTCAGTACCTTCGGCATCGTCTCAGGCATAAAGCTCTGGCCCCCAAAGCCAGGTTCAACTGTCATGACAAGCACCATGTCCACTGGTTCTTGACTCTCAACCTGCATGTATTGAACTTTCTTCTGAACAAGGGCCTAATCCCAGGAAATAAAATATATACATACAGGGCTGGCATCCAAAAGCTTTCTTCGAAGATGAACGTTTGATAGTTAGGTTCACAAACAAATTAGAAGGTAACTCGTAGAACAAACAATATTGTCTTCTTTTTCAACTTGGCATACCAGAGGAAAAACTTCTTCAACAGGAGTTCCAGGCCTCAAAGCAACTCCCGCGCGCATACCACCAGCCTTGATTTTGTGGATTAGTTCCTGCCAGTTGTCTAATTCAAATAACTTGAGTTAGATATTAGAGGTATTACACAAGAAACGATCTCGTATGATAAAAAGTGTAGCGAATCTATAGCAGCTACAACAAGGGAATATTTCATTGAAGAGTTCAATTTGTCTGTATATAAGAAAAACTTTAGCTGTTAAGATTATAACTTTGCCCCTTAAACATTAACAGAGGACTTGATCCAAGAAAGCAGCGAAGGAGACTGAAAATATATTTACTTCATATTCAACACTTGCAATTTTGAAATTTTGTCGAACTTCAATCCTTCATCAATTGAGGTGAATCACTAACCTTTTGCAACTTCAACATGAAAAGTGAAGCCTGAAGCGCCGGCCTTCACAAATTCATCCACGTAGTCCATTGGGTTGGTGACCATCAAATGACAGTCCATGTACATTCTGCAAAAAGATTAAAAATGAGATTCTTGACAACGGCCAATGCCAAAGTCCAGACCTTAGAAGAACCAAAGGAAAGACAGAGTGCATCAAGGGTTACTCACTTGGTATGCTTTCTCAAGGACTTGATGACCGGAGCGCCAATCGTCAAATTGGGAACAAAGTGCCTGCGCATCAATGGACAGGACCCATGCTGATGAAGAAAAGTTGAAGGATCTCAAATTAGATTTGGGTCTTTCTTGATTTCAGTCCCAGAACAAGAACGATGAGCCAGTGAAATACGATTGTTTACAAAACTGTGAGATACCAATAACCTGAACCGATGTATTAAGGCATCTGCAGCCAAAAAGCTGATTCTGATTCCTTACCCATCCTGCACAAAACCCCGCATGCAGCAAATGAGCGACATCTCTTAGCAAAATCGCACAGCTAAATTATTCCTGTATCCAAATCTTATCACGAGAATTTGTACAAAAGAACCATTCGAAACAGGTGCAGCATTATCTTAAGCTTAACCTAGATCGTATATACATTATAAAAATTACCAAATGCCGGTTCCTTATCTCGCACCTACAACAGTCCAGAGGGATTCGTTGACACCAATTTTGTAAAGATTAACGTTGGCCTAATTATGAAGAATCCTGTTGTAACTTGCTACCCTCTGTGGCAAAACAAGCTTATGATACAGGTTGTGAATCTCTGCTTTCCGAATGAAGAGCATACTACACGATAAAGTGGACCAACAATAAACTGCTTGACATACACTCCGTCAAACACAAATTAACCGCGTAGTTGGCGAAAATTGCGAGCAAAACACTAGGAGTCAGATTGCAATGAAGTGCAAATCTGAAACGAGAAGGAATGGGGAAGAGAAGAAATCCATTATGTAACTCAAACGAATTTCGCTCAAAAATATAAGGGGATGACTCTTCTGCCATTGTTACTGAATTCAATATTGGTATCTAAACGCAAAGCTATCAACAATTTAGCGAACTCACCATAACATCCATGTGAAGCCAGTCGGCTCCACACTCCTCAATGAACTTGGCTTCTGACGCCAGATTGGAAAAGTCGGAGGAGAGCATGGAGGGAGCAATTTTTGCTCTCGGCACCTTTACCTCTAGATTCTGAGCCATCCTGTCCTCTTCACCTGCAATCGATGCAGACAACTCAATGGCAAAGTCTCTCAATAGCACCAAAACTCGAAATTCTCGAATGGGTTATGCTACACTAGTGCAGGGGCCTCTGCGGGATTTGCCCAGCGGGGTTAATAGTCCAGAATTCACGGTTTTGATTTGCCGCAACCCCTCTTGCTAGTGGCGCGGAGTTGTGAGAGTCGCTTCCAACCTAGGCATCATGACGCCTTTCTCCTGCACATTCATCCAGATGGTGCAGCAGCCTTTGGGGCAGAACATTCATACAACGCGGTCTTCGGTGGGGCCTCACTCGCAGAACCTCAAAGAAAACGCAGGCAGCAACAGGAGATACATGTTTTTACCCTCGATGGCCCTCCGCTTTACGTGGAAAGACGTCGAATATGGGGACCTTTTGTTTCATTGGATTGTTGAACTTCCGACGGGCAACTCATTCTCCAAAACGGGGATGTGATGTTTTGTATCAGTAGTGATAGAGAACGCGAGCATCAAGTTATCACTAAACTACAGAACTTGATTAAGCGAATATTGACCATGGTAAATATCCTGACCTACAACCTTCAACTTCTAACTGCTACTGGACTTTTTGCTGAGCTTACTAAGTGCAAAGCGAGCCAACGGAGGCTTCTCGATTTCAGCCTCTGGCATTCTCACTTTCGCCCCCTTCAATATGTTTTTGCATTTATTGGAGTGCAGTTATGATTTGTTCATTTGGGTGCTGCTGACCCTAAAACCTAAGTTGGACTCCGAAGATATCACCTTACTCATAGCTAGCAGAAAGGACAAGATTCGACTGACCTAACGGTAGGATGATGACGAAGGGCGTGTCGTGTCTTTCCGAAGCATTCGTGGGTTGTCGTTATTCTGCGTCACTGGCTCCTGCTTAAAATGAGAGATGCTCTCCAGAAAATTGGAAAATTAATTGCGATCGAGTAGAGCTTATCTTTTCTGATTCTGCAGTGAGGTTGAGTATCATTTCCCACCAAGAATTGTTCGTTCTTATCAATTTGGAAGAGCTGGGCAGGCATCATGAGGGGCGTTCATTCTTTTGCTTACCATAATGTGCCTTAAAGTGCTTTCGAATTAGCCTTGCATTTCTCTGGAGATGGTTTTGAAAACAACTATTGGTTTGGTTTGTTATCCTAACTGGAGCTATCGAAAGGATTAGTAGTTATACGTTGAAGTGCAGAGTTTCCCTCGTAGTTCTTACCCTGACGTGGAGAATCGAATCAACATAGGATACCCGTTGCACACGAAGCAATTTGCAATGTTGCATTGCGTCTAAATCAAACGTTTCATGTCAAGTTCCTGAGTTCATACTCGCACTGTATCATTTAGCCACAATGAGTCCGTGGGCGAGGTTTATATTTGTTGCTGTTGCCACTCTCTATATGATCTTCTCGTCCATACCCATGCCTGCTCCTGGCACAATGCAGAAGAGACTCCTGATCTGTTTTCATTTATTTTATTGTTACGTCCTTTCCATTTGCGTGGTGGCGAGTTGGGGATGGTGAGAATCCTCGGATAGATATTACTGGTTTGGTTGATTGACATGAATCACCAATAGTAATCAGCGGCAGTGAACCACCTGAGAGACTCTTGTGAGTGTTCTCGGATTAACTCTGCAAGCCCACGAAGTCTCTGAGATCCTGACACTCAGATGTGAACCCTAAATCACATGCCTACAGCCTGAAGGCTATTCTTCTGCCCCTGAACATATGATCTACTATGATTCAGAAATCTTCTTTGGGTTCTTCGAGTAAAGGAACAAAATCAAATAAAATTCCAAGAGTCAGGATGGGTAATTCAACTTCATGCTCTTCTTGCATTCTTCAAACCTACATGTAAATTACCGAAACAAAACCTACAAAACGATATCCAGAGAGAGTGCTGACAGTCTTCGCATTTCCTCAGAGAAAGGTTGCGTCTCTCCAGGCAGAGCCGCCATGTTCACACAAGTGCGGAGATTGACAGTTGCATGGCAGTTGATGTTCACTAAGCATTTCTGGATTCTCCCTCTTCAGATTGTCCTCGCGCTCTATGCGTTACTAAGCGCTGTTGGCATTGCTTAGACAGCACATCAGGTTGTCACATGCCAGCTCTTGCTGATCAATACCCGTCCAATAAGTTTATAGAAAATTAATTAGGGTAGAGGCAGAGAGACTAAGCATGAACGAATGAAGACGACATCGGAAGCTCTGCGCCATGTGCATATTCTCAAGCTCCAAACCTGAGACGAGAAAAGTCCGGTCAATACAGCAAAGAAAACTAGCTGGCCACGGAAGAAAGAATTTGCCACCGCAAGCACAGTTTATCTGTTTAGGACAGCTCCTGTGCTGCTCTCGACTGCAACGTTCGCTAATTCCGCGATTGCGAAAATTCCTCTTAGCCGGACAGATGCTTACAGCCTGTGAAATGCTCAATATGCTGCAGAGTCCTTTGAACAGCTTCTCAGAGTTCATCTCCAACGAAATTCAGATGAAGGTGCGTCATCTTACTAACCCTATGCTATTTGTGAATATGTCAGGATGCTCATGCTTGTCAACATTGTGTCTTGAAGTCCATTCTTAGACTTGCTAAACCGGCGACTCATTGTTTGAATTTTTGATTACATGTGGCTTTCAGTTGCCTATGAATCGATTATGGAAGTGTCTGCAAGATGAGGAATTAACAATGGATGCAGTGGGGCTATTGCCCAAATTCTCAAGTGGAAATGCCTTCGCTAAAAGAATCAAGCACGCAACTTCAACTGGAACCCAGATGTTGTACCTTACGCACTCGCACACGTGAACTCGTCGGTAGAATGGTGAGATATTTCAAAGGTACCTCATATCTTGCATCCTGAGAGAGATTCTTGTGGCGTCTCACGTGGTACAAGCTTTCAAATTCATACTGAAGTTTTCTGTAATGGAAAACGTTTAAGTTCTCAGTAACTTCTGAACATATTTGGGTTCCCATTTCTGAGGCATTTTGTCAGCAGAGAGAACCAGTTCATGTCAGATCCAATTTTTGACGATTATTGTTTTCAATTTGCTCCAGTGTAGTTGTTATGGAGGCTCCATCATCCTGCCAGGTAAAAGTAGCGGGAAGCATTGCGTCAGGAGCATAATCAGCATGGTTTTAAAGTTGCGAAAATCGAATAGGAGATTCTCTTTGGCAGCGGCACGCACCAGCTGATGTTCGCGGTAGTTTTTGGCCTGCGCAGAGAAGAAACAGTCGATGCTTTTTGTTCATGGAGACCAAATTGAAGCTGGTGAGATAGAGGCATCAACGTGAATGGTGGTTAAAAGCAACGTATTCAGCTTGCGGGAGCTTTGTACCAGGGTGGGAGTATCTACCTGTTTGGTAACCCTTTCAGTGCTGTGGATGCGCACACAGGAACTTATCTTTCTATGTACACACCCGAATTCTCGCTTATGCTCGGCAATGCTTGGAGATGTTGCTGCCTTTGATTTGCTGTTAGATAATATAGACCTCCAGAACCTTGAGATTGTAGGTGCTAATTCGTTGCACGTAACTATAGATGAGTCAAAGGATCACAATCTCAAGATTGTGGAGACAATCTACATAACAGGATTTCGGTAAGTTTTGAGTTGTAGTTTGGAAGAACCTTTTTCGTTTTAGTTAGTTAGCTGTTTGCCGAGTATGTAAGAAAGTGGAAGGCTCAGCATCATTTTTTTATTAGCAAGATAAGATATCCAGAACTTTCTTTTAGGTTCTTCTATTTGACCCCCACTGAAAGCATACTCAATTGGGTTCGTAGTCATGCAGTACTGAGATCGGTAAAGAAATTATACATCATCCATTCTCTTCAGAGGATTCTGAACTCTCATTTCCCCCAACATTCACACGAACTCTGGCCAGTTTGTCTACATATCAGCACTAGCTATCTGGCTCACATCGGGTGAAGTCGAACTCTAAAGATCACCCACATGGTCAATTTCATGTCTAAGCCTTCCGCAAAAGCAACAACCAAGTGTGTGAGGCAGTAGTTGCACATTGTGTTCACAATCTCTGCTTTTTAATTGCTTCTTCCAGTTTCATGCATGACGAACTAATCCATGGTTGCAGAATTTGCTCGCATTCATAATTGTGGCCCGTATTATTTGAAGTAGCTTGTTTAGTATTATTTTTGTTGCTGTTGATTGTTCGTCTTTGATGGTTGTTCGTGTCTACATGAGATTCAACCTCTGAAGCTTGTCATACGTAGCATAAATTTCACTTCTGTGTTTAGACCCAACCTCACATCAGTGTTTCCAAAGCTAGGAACAAGTTTGTACAGCTCGTGATTTGCATGTTTTCCTACATCAACCCTTACTTCCGAAGGTAGTCCATGAGCGAGTTAACCACAAACTTCAAGCCTGAGCATAGGAGGCAACGATTTTGTGACCACTCCGAGATGTATTACCAGGTGTGACATGTAATCAGACCGAGTACTGCAGATGCATGTGATGAACTATTTTTTCTACTGTCCAGATGAAAAGTATTGTAACGATTGCTGCCTTATCAAGGCATGCAGCTAATTGGGCTAAGCATGCAGGGAAAATTCCTCTTGAATCCATATCTGTTTCGTCTTCAAATATCTAAAGCTCTTGCTCTGATGAACATCTTGAATATTTTCGCGTTTGCTTGTAATCTCTCGGAACGTGGTCAATGTCGTACTCTCGTTTTGAGTTTACATTTCAAGCATGTTTCTCTCCAACCTTCCAGAGTTTCAATCGTGAACTCCGATTGAGGTTGGATGTCTCCTATACGACCTTTCTGCAACAGTGGAGGTTCAAAGTCACGTCACGCATGTCGATAGATCACAAGCTCATATAAACTTAGTTCAAAACCTAGAATTTTCCGAGCATCTTGGTGTCCTCTATGGCTCTCAAATACCAAAAAATCCATCTCAATTACACCACTGGATTATGTTTGCGCCATTTTAGGGTTTCAAAAAAGGTTCACGCCAGCCGCCGAAGACTCTCCACCGATGTCTTTTCGTCACATTTAAATATGAATATCCTCGATGTGGTGATAAGATAATTGACTTGCATTACTCTCAGGTTTAGTTCACCGCTCGCTGTAAACACACATCTGCACATTTTAAACAAGATGCCTCTATGAAAACACCACTAATTAAACTACTGGTACAAAATGTAAAAAGCTAAACGATTGACTGTACTGTAGACGGTGAGATTGGGAGTCGAGTAATTTGTGCCGATGATAGGAGGGTAAGTACAATTACTTAGAAAAATATTGATGGGTATTCTACCCAAGTGCGGTATCGAGTGTGGGAATAAAATGCATCTTAAAATTACAACTCAACAAGAATTGCGTGAGCTGGAACACCGGCAAAGCCGGAAACATCCAAGAGAGGAGACTCAATTCCTTTCGGCTCCGGAGCTATCCATTCCACGTGTTCGGTGCCGCAGCATCTGCCAAGTGTTTGGACACACGTCGAAAGGTAGGTTCGGCGACAGACGTCACGATTCTTGTTTCGCTCGCCACGCATCTTCTGCTCCTTCAGCTGCAATAACATCACGACAAGTAGCGAATTATCAGCAGCAGTGAAAAAGTCACCGTTCCGTGACGAAATCGCGCGATCAACTGGAGACGATTTTGACAATGAAGCCATAGCAAACAATTTGAGAAAGGGGTTCTAGCAAAATCGATGACTGTGTTTGTGATCAGCGCGCATCCGGCGACATAATGTGAATGAAGCGAAGAAAATCGATTGGAATGCACCTGAAAGATTCCAATTCTACGTCCTGAACCACGACATGGCACTGGCGCGGTTAACGTCTACTCGTCGAGTTCTCTCGCGTCACTGATGTCCTCGTCTCATCTTCGAAGTAAAAAAAACAAAACAGTTCATACCAACCCTCCATAGCTACAACCTCTCTGTTGCGTGTGTCACTGACCACGTGCCTGAAAAATTGTAACTGAAGGTTCCATTCATAGATCTTTCAAGACTTTCTCATAAATGTTCAATTCCGTGGTCGTTTGCATCAACGCGAGTTTCAGAACCCAACATTTCAAGAACATAGTGCACTTCCATCGTCTTCACGGGTATTGCATCAGGGCTGTGAGTGTGGGCTTCGGTTTCCATTTCGAAGCACTGAGATTTGCTCGAAGTTGCCGGCCATGGCGCCAGGCTTCTTGAATTATGTTGGACACACAATCTTTCGCTTTGGAGGGGGTGGAGATGGCAATGGTAAAAGTGGGGCAACCGAGGATGACGAGCCTCTCCGCTTAGGCCACAGTGGAGAGCCATTATACACCACGTTGGGCGGCCACCCTGTTTCCGACGACAATAATAGGTATTCATTCCCCTCGATCAGTCACGACATATGGCAAGCTCGGGTGTAGAGGTTTATGGAGAGATTTATCAAGTTTTTTACTGACAATTTGCTGTTGGCATTGTGTCTCAGTGTCACAGTTGGTGAGAGCGGAACCCTGACGTTTGAAGATCTGCATTTGTTCGAAAAGAATGCGCATTTCAACCGCGAGCGCATTCCTGAGCGTGTGGTGCATGCTAAGGGAGCTGGTGCTCACGGTTACTTTGAAGTGACACAGTACGTAATCAATCAGTCAAATCCATACTGAATCCTGTCAAGCGTATTGTGGATTGGCAAAGAAGTGGGGGTTGTTTTGAGGAAACCAGAGATGCTGACGAATTGTTTGTTACTGTTTTGTCTCCAGCGACGTGACTGATCTTTGCAAGGCGAAACTCTTTGATGAAGTGGGTAAGAAGACGCCCGTGTTTGCTCGATTTTCCACCGTGACTGGTGAGAGTGGGTTTCCGGATACTGCCAGGGATCCTCGTGGGTTCGCTCTCAAGTTTTACACCGAGGAAGGTAACTGGGACATGGTGGGAAACAACACGCCGGTCTTCTTCGTCCGCGACGCCTTGAAGTTTCCCGACCTCATCCACTCCCAGAAGCGTAACCCGCAGACTCACATGAAGGATCCCAATGCATTCTGGGACTTTCTGAGCCTGGTTCCTGAATCTTTGCACCAGGTTAGACCTCTCCAATCTGACTCATCCTTCCTCAGCTCCATTGCTCAAGGTCACGAGTTTCATTCTTGCCTCAATTCGATCGAATCTGAACGTCTTGAGTTCTGCTTCCATAGGTTTTAATTACTTTCTCGCCGAGGGGGGTTCCCGACGGCCATCGCCACATGCACGGCTATGGCTCTCATACATACAAGTGGATAAACAAGGAAGGAAAAGCTCACTGGGTCAAGTTTCATTTCATTAGCGATCAAGGCATCAAGAATCTCACTCACGAGCGCGCTGTTGAGCTTGCGGGGATCAATCCAGACTACTCCACAGAGGATCTGTTCCAGAACATTCAGAAGGGTAATGGCCCATCGTGGACATTCAAAGTGCAAGTCATGCCTCTTGAGGATGCTGCGTCGTACCGATACGACCCGTTTGATTTGACGAAGGTGTGTAGTAAAACATTTTAGTGGCGTTTTTGTGTACAATAACTGCGAGTTCTTGAGAATTTTCGACGGTGTCGCGAGATGTCTGCGTGTCGAATTTGACAAGCAGTTAGTATGTTGGCGCAGGTTTGGCCTCACAAGGATTACCCACTGCGCGAAGTAGGGAAGTTGAAGCTTGATAGAAATCCAACCAACCACTTCGCTGAGGTCGAGCAATCATCTTTCTCGCCTGCACATATGGTTCCTGGAATTGAAGCATCACCAGACCGCGTTCTCCAGGCTCGTCTTTTCGCTTACGATGATGCTGGTCGCTATCGCCTGGGCTCAAATCACTTGCAAGTATGACCTCTTCTGAGTCTATCACTCAAAGACTGAACAAAGATTGTTCACATATATTTGCCGTTAGTCTTTTGCCCATCTTTGTAGTAGTTCCATGCCTACTATCCCTGCGTTGACAATAGCGTGCATTTAGAAATTTACAGTTGTTTCCAGCCACAGTTTTGGTTGTGACTGAGATTCGTTGCCTCTGCGGCTGACAGATTCCGATCAACCAGTGCCCATTTGCGAGAGTGCAAAACTATTCTCGTGATGGGCTAATGACTGTTACTGAGAACGGTGGCAGCAAGCCGAACTATTACCCCAACTCATTTCCAGATTTGCCGCGGCCCGATGCTTCTCAGCCTGACGTGCATCCTTACAAGTAGGTCCTCAAGCCATTTCAGGGTTTGCATTGATAAAATTGGAGATTCTTTTCTGCTACTGTTTAGGTTCGTCTTGACAGTTAAAAAAAAATTGTTCGCTTTGTGCTCACGGAATCATCTCTCCATGTGCAGGCATGAAGGAGGAATTGTTTCAAGAACCCCACCCCGAAAGTGGTCGATGCAGGATGATTATGAGCAACCTCGGGCTCTTTGGCAGACCATGTCTAAGGAAGATCAGGGGCAGACTGCCAAAAACATCGCTGGCCACATACAAGGGGCTCAAGAGTTTATCATTCAGCGCCAAATGGGTATATTTAAGCGCTGTGACCCTAGCCTTGCTCAAAAAGTGGAAGAAATGCTGGAAATGAAGAGAAAATCTCAAGACCCTTACACCATGGTAGCGTGATTTTTAGTAAAATTCCACTGTAAAGTGTAGCTTTTCCTACCAGAGGCGATTTTTATAGCTCCTCCTCCATGACAACTGCAACAGTTTTGTCGGAATTTCTTCAAATTTGTATAGAAACAAAGTTTGCTCAGCAACCTTCTGCGTCATGGATGATGTGCATAGTACTTCTGTTAGGTCGGGATCTCAACCAATTCTAAAGCTTTTTAGTTTTAATCAAACTTCCTGATACAATCTCTGCGTTGGGCTTTGTCCTTATCGTCATGAACGTCGTTTGTTTCACTGATTCGTTATTTTTGCAAGTTTCGTTGTTGGATCATGAACGTTTGATCGATGATGGATTTGCTGACATTGTTGGCAGATCTTCTGCACGGCATTACTGGGCAACACATAAAATTCACCCTTAACAGTAGAACCGTGGATATGGTTACTTTATCATGTTCTTATGATAATGTCAATCTTGAACCTTATTTTGTCGTGTGCAGTCCGAGAAGTTGACATGTCCTTTGCACTTCGTAAACTTGCGTGGCATATCATTGGTTAACAGTGTATATGAACTCGTGAGCAGCGTTACTGTCACGACGAGGACCTTGCCTGATTTACAGTGATTGGTTTATCTTGTAAAGTACTAATATTTCTGATTCTAGTTTAAGGTTTTGGATCGTTTTCAAATTTCATCGACTCGAATATTTCACACAAATTTTTGTTCTGATTCCCGTGATAACCCTCACATGGGTGTATGGATTCACAAGTCTTGTGTTTGCTAGCATTCTTCATCTCTTGGTTAGATTACTGCTTTCTCAAATGTTTAACTATGCAAAGCGAATGAGCTTTTGCAATCTAATACGCTTCTTCATTTAATTAGAGCTGAAAACTTCAAATACCTTCAACAGAAGGGGAACTAAGAGTAAAGGATGAGGTTCCAGTTTTTACATAGCATGGAAGAAGGAACAGCGACCCGTTCTCTGAAGGCAGATGAGTGCACTCATGCTTATGCCGCGTTGCTAATCGTGCTACGATTGCATTATCTGGAGAGCTATTGACTAGTTCAAAATGCGTGAAACTACTGACAGTGATGCTGCAAATGCTCGTGATTAATGGACAAAGACGGGTGCACCTTTAAGCTTTAGATTACAACATTTTGTCCTTAGAGATATGTTCTAGCAGCACTAACGTTTCCGTAACTCATGTTGACCCACCCGTTGGCCCATGGCAAGGAGTGACATTCTTGAAAACTTAAAGCGCCCAATTCATCTACTGAGTTCCTCGAGGTAGAAGAGAGAAGACTTGTGAGTTTCAAAAGTGTTGGAAGGAGTTGGATATATCACTGGAGTTCTTGAGATTCGGGCACATTCTGGTTAGCAGGTCCAGTCAAAAAATATTCTGATATTTTTGTGCATTTTTTCTCTGTAGTATTACAGGTTTGCAAAAATATGCGCCACGAAGTTCTGAACTCGTGGCTGAGAAGGTGAATTTATGAATTCTTAAAACAGTACTTTAGAGGAAAATGTTGAGCGCAGGGTCGACCTTGGGATGAAGGAAATGCTCGCGAACGTAAATTATCAGAATCTAAGGTTTATTAATCATGGGCGAACAACCATTTCGGATGCACTTCGGATACAAAGAAGTGATTCGGAAGCTGCTCCTGTTGGCGAGCTCCGCACTTTTTCTGCGAGCTTCCGTTGAAGCAACCAGTTTATCGAATTTTCTGATAGGAATGGGAAGCTATGACATCACTGGACCAGCGGCCGACGTTAATATGATGGGGTATGGAAATACCGGCCAGAGTGCAGCGGGGATTCATTTCAGACTTCGCGCACGCGTGTTCATTGTGGCAGAGGCTTCCAATATAACTGACGGGAAGAGAGTGGTGTTCGTCAACCTCGATGCCTGCATGGCATCCATGGTCGTCACTCTGCGTGTTCTTTCTCGACTCAAACAGAGGTTTACTCACCCTCGTTCTGACTCGTCAATGTTTACCAAAAAACACCCACGTTAGGAAATGCTACAGATATGCTTCAGAAAGCAGAACTCAAAGTTTTTCTCTTCTTTTGTACTACATGTTCGGTTTCTCTGAAGGTAGGGACAGAAGACAAATGCAAAGCCATCCCATACTATATTCTGAAATATTATAAACTTGTCCACGTATATTTGGCTCTGCTGATCAGATATGGTGACTTGTACACTGCGAAGAATGTTGCAATCAGCGGCACGCACACGCATTCGGGGCCAGGGGGTTACTTGCAATATGTGCTCTACCTTGTGACCTCACTTGGTTTTGTGCGCCAGTCATTTGAAGCGCTGGCTAATGGCATTGAGCTGGCCATCGTTGAAGCTCACGAGAATCTTCGGCCTGGCTCTATTTTTCTCAACGGAGGTACAAAATTCAAACTTCGATAAGTCATCCTTCTTCACTGCAATTTTTAACTCACAATCGAGAAACATTAGTAGCCATCAACTCTCAGTATCATCTGTAATGGTCATCTGCAGGGGAGGTTTTAGGAGCGAACATCAATCGCAGTCCAAGTGCGTATCTCAACAATCCCATTGAAGAGCGTTTACGATACAAGTACGACGTGGACAAGGAGATGTCCTTGCTGAAGTTCGTAGACTCTGAGCGGGGACCTGTGGGTTCCTTCAGTTGGTTTCCTGTCCACGGAACCTCTATGAACAGAACGAACCAGCTGATAAGTGGGGACAATAAAGGTGCAGCTGCGCGGTTCATGGAAGACTGGTTTCAGAGAAGAAAACTGAATGCAACACATGAAGACGCAGGTTGGGTCGACTTTGTGCAGCATCGTGGGGCTGCAACTCGTCGTTCCAGCACCTATGGTATGTATGCCTGAATCTGCTCCCATCTTGAAATTTTTCTGTACTAGTTGACAGTGTAAACTTGAAATTCTGCATTGACAGGAAATGCCCGCAACGGATCCGGAAGAACAGGCCATGAGGCTGGCGAAAATGGACCTTTAAGAAGGCATCCCAGTGGTAGGCTTTCCAGCAACACGCAGAAAGTGAGAAGTAAATTTTCCCGCTCAATGAGTTCCTCCTTCGTGTCAGCGTTCTGTCAAAGCAACGTCGGTGACACCACCCCAAATACATTGGGACAATTTTGTCTTGATTCTGGACTTCCATGTGAATTCTACACCAGCACATGTAACGGAAAGAGTCAACAGTGTGTAGGCCGAGGTCCTGCGTGAGTTTTTCACTCCTCTCTTGCAGCATTACTTCGATGAAAATCAAAATATGCCGCCCATTAAATTAACTAGGATGGAGCGAGCAGAAGAGTATTGCACGGTACACATAGATTTCAGATGAGCGGTCCACTATGTTCAGGTACCCTCGTGATCACTTTGAGAGCACAAGGATGATTGGGGAGAAGCAGGCTGAAGCTGCAACCAAATTTTTTCAAGAAGCTCAGGTACAAGTACATGGAAAAATCTCTTTCAAACAAACCTTCGTCAACTTTTCACGCCTTTCAGTAGGTCTACCGTCTGGAGAAATCGTTTCAACGTGCCCAGCTGCGGTTGGATTTGGCTTCGCTGCTGGTACTTCAGATGGACCTGGAGCTTTCGATTTCACCCAAGGTGATAAGCAGGTACATCACATCTATTCTTACAGGAAAAGAGTAACCTATATACCAAGTTGTCTGATCTTTCTGATATTTCTACCCAATGATGCGCAGAATGCTGAATTCGTGGTAATCTTTTGTGCCGGTTTCACATTTCGAAAACCTTATAGTCGTAGTCGATTGCTGAGGTTCTTCGTAACCTGCAGGGAAATCTTTTTTGGAGACTGGTAGGTGGAGCATTGCACCGACCTAGCCAGGAACAGATCAACTGTCAGAAACCAAAGCCCATACTTATTGACACGGGCGAGATATCTACACCTTACGCTTGGACGGTATGTGTATTTTATTTTCTGTTCACAGTTTTCAGGAACCTTTGAATTTCCACTTCTTTTTGAATTCGAACTAATTCCATTTAATTAAGGGGAATAGTCCACATGTTACCCTCCCTGTAGCGAGAAGAATAGGGATCTTTCGCCAACCTAATGCCTTGTCAGATGATCGAAGCAGACGAAGAGTGGTTGATTTTTTCTTCAACGTTGAATCTTGTTTCTGCAGCCATCCGTGCTTCCAATCCAGATACTTCAAATTGGGCAGTTCATCGTCCTGTCGGTTCCTGGAGGTAGTAAACTGTAACCATCCCTTCTATTATCTCCAACACAAAAAAAAAAAAAAAAAAAAAAAAAAAAAAGAGACTAGCACTAAATTGAGATGTAATAGGGAGCCTGAGTGCGACTATGAATGCTCGACTTCACATTTCTTAACTGAAAAACCCCACTCGTTCTGCCCAGAAATGACAACAATGGCAGGTCGGCGACTTCGAAATGCGGTGAAGGAGACTCTTATTGAAAAAGGAAGTGGGCAATTCAACTCTGAAACCCATGTTGTCATTGCCGGTCTAGCGGGCGACTATTCTCAGTACATTACAACCTATGAGGAATACCAAGTTCAAAGATACGAGGTCAGTTCCATACTATTAACTCTCTTGGAGCATTTGCTCACATTCTCAAGACTATCCGCAATAACGCCAACCTTCCTTCAAACGTCGACATCGACGTCGGAGATTTCCATGACCTCTAAGTGTACCTCACACAGTATTGTTTGGTTTTTGGATTCAGGGCGCTTCCACCTTGTTTGGTCCTCACACACTCCAGGCCTACATACAGGAGTTCAAGAAGCTGGCCGGAGCTCTTGCGCTAGAAACAGAACCCGCACCTGCACCCCTTCCGCCAAATCTGCTTGATCTACAGCACGAATTCCTTCCAGGCGTTGAGGCAGATCGAACACCCCCTGGAATCACCTTCGGTGACCTCAAACAAGACGTGCAGCCCAATTCTTCATATCGGACAGGTGACACCGTGTCAGTCTCGTTCTACACCGGGAATCCACGGAACGATCTATTCACGGAGGGCAGTTATGCTTTGGTTGAGATGATTGATGGAGCTAGTGGGTGGCAACCCATGTATGACGACGACGACTGGAGCTTGAAGTTTCGGTGGAGCAGGTCTTCCCCGATGAGCATCATCAGTATTGCTGAACTTGATTGGACTATTCCCAAGACTGCCCCACGAGGTGTCTACAGAATGCGTCATTTCGGTGCACACAAGTCCTTCCTTGGACCGATCCAGCGCTTCACGGGGACGTCTAGCGGATTCCTCGTCGCAGGTTAGAGAGTCTCCTGGATGCATCGCAGGCTCTGCAATGCTTCATGGAAATGCTTCCGACAACCTGATTGATACCTTCGCTAATACACTGGTTTATATCCTCGACAGTACTCTGGCTGATACCCTTTTCGAATCGTTGTAGGTATCCGCATTTCCCCGATAAGCAACTTCTTCGATTATGCAAACTTTTAACAGACTTAGTTGTGTTTGGCTTGCTTTAGTGGAAGAGAAATCAACGTTTTGCATTGATTTACATTTTTTTGTGTATTTATGGTTGGCCGGTTGGTTTGTTTTTGCATCCAATACTAATTATATATATATATATATATATATATACTTAACACTACATGCCCAGTTGATATTGCTACACCCCACATGACTTAAATTGACCAAAAAGCACACTTTTACACTTAGGACGCATTTTGCCATGCCAATATTTAACCCCAATATTGATCCAGAAATAGAATAAACCAAAAAATAAGTTTTGTTCTGGGCACCAAATAAAACAAGAAATAAAATTTTGAGCAAATATTTTAATTTTTTTTAAAGAAAATTAATTAAAAACAATTCATGACTTGATTTTTCATAAAACATTTTCTCTCTCCCTCTCAACCACCACACTTCCTTAAAACAAAGAGAGAGAAAAAAAAAAAAAAAAAAAAAAAAAAAGACATTACTAGCTAGTTGTCTATGAGGACATCACATGGGGTTTAGTCATATCAATTGGAGATGTAGCATTAACAATTCTCTATATATTTTATTTGTTGTTCCATGTCTATTTGACAAAATTTCTTCAGAAGTTCTATTTTAGTTGCAAGCAAGGAAGAGTGTTACAAATTTATATAAATTATTTGCACTCCTATGTGAATTGGATAAAATGTGCATTAAAATTGAAAAAGCATATGAAAATGATATTATTCACAAGGATATACACATAGATGTCAATTGATACATTATTTCTAAACGTAATTACACATTAAAGAAAATATGGTATAGGAAAACAAGACAAGTATGAGTGATTTGTGATGTCATATGAACAATTTTTAATAAATAAATTTTAGTTATCTTTCTATGTATTTACATAAATCATTCTGTACTCAGAGACCTGTTTTCTTAAATCGGTTTCTGAATGCTTAGTATTAGTTAGAATGAGTGTCGAAATGATTTTTTACTTTTCAAATTTTGTTTTAATAAAATTCAAATGCCTTGGAATTTTAAGGCACCTTCTTCTGCATCTTCGCAATCCCGCATAACAATATTGAGTAGAAGACCTTTGTCTTACAATCCACTAGATATCACAATGTGAAATAAACAAGATTGTAATGATTCAATAATTTATTTGTAAATATTAAGAAGATTGAAACATGATTTAAAAATAACACTGTCAACATCAGTGAGATTAGTAAATGACATGGCATTCAAAGAATCTAGGCCATAAAGTGTTGTGGTATCATTTGGTGTAATTATCAAGTGATATTAGATGCACATGAAGTTTGCATGCAGTTTCAAGCAATCTAGCTTGGATTCGGATTTTTTTTTATTTTGAAATGGATACACATGTTGTAAAACCCACCAGCTACCAATTAAAGATTTTGGCTTGTGTTTGTGGAATGAATGATTCTTGCTGGATACTTGAAACTCTAAAGCAAGATCTGCAACATCTCTTTTAATACTAAAACTATTTTATTCTAAAGTATGTTCATTAAAGAATAAATTATTTGTTTGGAATATATTCATATATATATATATATATATATATATCAAAATTTCTCTACACACAAATAATTTAATGAAAATTTATAAAATTGAATGTTAACCGACTTTTTTTTTTTTTTTTTAAATTTTTTTTTTTTGCCATTGTTTTATTTCTAAAATTCAAGAAATATTTATTAAAATTTTTACCTACAAAAATTCTGAAATTTAGAAAATACTGCTTTTTGAAAAAGTAAAAAAATTATAGGTTTTTTAAAAATAAAAATAAAAATAAAAAATCATATAACATATTCAATGCAGTTTTTTTTTTTTTTTTTTTTTGATTTCTGATCAAAAGTTGAAGGAGAATAATCAACTATGTATAAAAAGTTATGTTTCAAAAAATCTTTTGTAAAATATTTTTTAAAATTATATTGTGATATATTAGGTCAAAAATATTTGTGAATAGAAACATGTCCATGGATTTTGGATGGCAATGCAAAGATTTGTGTTTTAAATTAATTTTCTCTTTATATTATATTTTATTTTTATTTTTCAAATTTTCAAATTTTAATGATATGAAAATTCAAATTAAACTTAAAAAGCATTTGAAATTTTTGGGTTTGAAAGCAATCAACAACAAGAAATATACATAAAAACAAACAAACATGACACAACTATTACTAATGACCTTGGTGAAGTTACAAGTGCAAGTTCCTAAAAGCTTGTAATGCATTTGTAAACCATTTTTCCATTGTCTCAAGTAACTTGTGAAGTGAGAAATAATATTATTTTTTCAACTTCAAATACTTGTTTAAATTTTTCAAAGCATAAAAAAAATTTCAAAAACACTAGCCACTTCAAGGAATTTGTGAATCCGATCATAAATGTAGAATTATTATCAATAAAAAGATTCAGAAAATAATTAAACCACCTAGTCAAACCAATGCAATTAACTCAAATATATTATTCCTGTGAAAAGAATTTTGAATTTTGTTCAAACTTACAAAAGATAATAATTTAATAATGAAGGTGGAATTAAAAAATTTCGGAATCAAATTATACCATATCTAACTTCTCATTCGTATAATTAGATTTCATGTTTTTTCAGAAAGATACTTCAAATGGAATGTAATGTTTTAAACCAACATTCCTTTTTAATTTTAATTTTAATTTTATCTTTTCTTGCGGTTACAAGCAAGAAACGTTGTTTCATTGTTGTTGTTATTATTATTATTATTATTACTTATCATTATCCATTTATTACCTTATTAAAGATGAAAGATAATACAATTTTAAGCACTTCACCTCATTCCCGTACGTTTTTCTTTCTAATTCATTTTTTGTAGTTTATTGTTTATTGTGAATTGCATGTCATAACCAAACCATCATTTCTACTTTATATGTGTGTGTGGATCATGAAAAAAAAAACTCATCAACTAGACACAAAAACACTTCTCGATTTACATATACAATTATACATATCTACCTATATATATATATATATATATATACAAGTACATTACAACTTATTGAAAGGTTCCACTTACAAAAGAAAAAAGAAAAATAAAAAATCAAAGTAAAAGAAATAAGAAAAAGCTATTCAATCCTGAAAAAACCCAACTGCACAAAAAATATCTTTCGAGAAAGCAGAAATAGCAGCAGATTTTAACCCAGGAATTTCCACGCAAGCAGATGAAGCCGATTACATCCGCCTCAAAATTCATCCACCAAATAAATGCAGTAATTCATTTATCCATTCATCTCACCATCCATCCGGGCATGGATGCATGTGAAGAAGCCTATGGCCATGCATGATGGGGTGAGGCCGGACCCATATCCAGATCGGGTCCAGGGGTTTAGGGTTTTGGGGTTTTATGTCTGTTGATGTCCGCTCGCATCGCTTCCTTTTGTTCCTCTGCTTCAGCTGGACTGTCTTCGCTCACCAGCTGAGCTCGGAGGCCTGCAAGCATCGCAAGTGAGACCACATTCACCGTGTTATTCAATGCGTTTCACAGTTGCAATTGAAGCTGAAGACTCTCGTGGTCCGGTGATAATTTAGGAGAATTCTCTAGTTTGTGTTGCACTTCTCCGGAGTCGCGGGTGAAGAACTAAATAGCATTCAGATCGTAGGTCGAAGTGCTCAGGCTCTTTAAAACCTGAAGAGTATGTTTTGAGTGTGTGCTGAGGAGCTGAGTTTCTGAGTTCAGTCGTTGTCCGTTTTCGCAATGCAATAAGTGCGGGCATTTTTTGAATTGGTGTCGAGGGGCGGGGGTCGAAGATTCGGGTTAGCTCATCTGTACTGCATCCTGGCATTAAGAATCTGGTTCTGGAACTTTTGGAAGCGATTTCTGGTTGTAAGGATGTTCGTTAAACACATGATTTCTATGAGAGTGCGAAATTTTGCTGGAATTTGACCAGGTACGTATGGACTTTGAATGATGATTCTGACACGATGGTTGTCTGTCGACAGTGAAATGTGGAGGTGACGGGGTTTGAGAGAGAAATCTCTTGGAGAAGAACCTGTGCAAGAGATTGGAGCAAGGTTTGAGTGGGGCTGGAAAGAATATAAGGTATGGCGACAGTGCACACTTCGTTGTGTGCAGCCATTCAGGCGCAAGCACTATGCCAGGATCAGCTCCGGCGTAATTCGTCTTCGGCTCTTTCGTCTCACAATTCTTGCACTTCTGGGAAAAGAATTGCCCGTCCGTATATTAAACGGTGGTGTACTATTGTCCCGATAAGTGGGCTTGTGAAGTGTATATTTTCAGAGAAATATTCAAGATTTTATTGTTCGTTGAGCGACCGCAAAGGACTATGCGGACGAGGTAGAATCTCGCGCAGTCTAAGTTCGGTGCAGACTTCATCGACGGTCGGTCACAAGGATGTCTGGGAAGGTTTCAATCCAGATGATTATGAGGAGAGGGAGGAGACTGAGGAGGAGGCTCGCAGGCGTAACTGGGTGGAAAGAGGGTACGAGTTTTTGCTGGTTTGAAGTGGAATGTGTTCTGTCGCAAATTACGACTTAAAATTTTGGAATGCTTCATCACATATTATTATCTCACCACGAGCTCCATTTTAAAATTACAAATGCTCAGGTGTGGGCGATACATGTGGCCCCTCTCTTCATCTTATCGCCTTTACCGTCGGAGCTTACGCACTATTAAGGAATGTTGACGAGAAGATATGACAGTTGTGAACAATTTTGTCAATTTTAAGCACTTAGAGGAGAATGAATCTAAACCTCCCTTCTTATGTCGAGTGGGATACGCAAGTTTCTTTGCAATCGCAATCTCAGCCTCTACCTTGAATTTGCAGAAAATAGTAGAGTAGCGATATTGATATGCTTCCTAGGGTATTGACGCTCATCAAGGTAGTCCAGACATTGGTGAATGTTGAATTATAGGATTCATCCGTAAGCGCTGAACTTAAACCTTTTTATTTGAGTCCTACTCCTTCGATGGGTTAAAAATGGTGAGTAGTTCTCTCGCAATAGCAGAGTGGGATGCAGAGATCTAGTTAGAGGTCGCAAAGCGCTATATATTATCTTCCCATGCACTCGTCTAATTACGTTTTTTTGTTGTGGAAATACGTAATTCTGACCAGGTGGGCGCCATGGGAAGAGTGGCTGTCACCTGAGGGACAATTTGCAATAGACAGTTTGGTCGCCGGAGAAGAGGAGCCTGCTGTCTCATGGGAGAACTTTCAGAAGTTGAATCCGAAATGGCAGGAAGAGCATCGAAAACGGCTCATTGCGGAGGCTGAGAGAAGGGAGAAGGAATTGGATAAACGGAAGCCTAAGAGTATCGAAGGCACCATGTATGATCAGCCTCTCACATTTACATTGATACCACCTAGAGATTGGCCTCCTCCTGATTGGAAAGTTGATTCCAAAGAGCTTGCCTTCATTCGTGAAGCTTTCGCCCTGGAAAACGTTGTGCCGACTGAAGAAGAACTGGCTGAAGCGGATAAAGAAGAACTTGACGAAGAAAATCATGAGTATGAAATGCCGAGGTGGAAAACGTTTTTGAATCAGTACAACGAATGGGTGGCAGCTAACAAGGATCGCCTTGATCGGGAAGCAGAAGAGGTCTGTTCTCGACTGTTGCCATAGGATCATCATGTTATTTTGCTTCTTTGAGTTTAATCTACTCTGTTTTCGGGTGTATTGGTGTAAGCACCTCAAATACCATAGTGATTGGATAGTTAAACGTATTGAAGAGGATAAGTGTAAAAAGAATTCTTCATAATGCAAACTGTTGTTATGTACAGGTCGATCCAGAATACTATCCTGGGAGGAGACGCCTTGGAGAAAAAGCTGAAACCGAGGATGGCTCATATCTGGTTTTTTGCTCTCTCCTTTTTCCGCCAAATGGCAATGAAACTCAGCATGACTCATGCTTATAGATGCATTCTCTACAATAGCTGTTGTTTCCTGGTGCTAAGTGAACCTTCAACACCATACGTACGTAGTTGCAGTAAGTGTCAAAATGTTCATGCGCGAATAGCCAAGTGGTCTGTCATTCTGATTGCTTTTCATGTGTTTCAGCTTGCGAAAAAAATTCCACTTTCTAAACCATGTATGGTGGGAAATGTGCATGTTTCGTGTATCAGTATGAGCTGCCTTTCATCTACCCTGGACAGGTATTATACAAATGACAGCTATGTCTTTTTCTGAATCAAAAACTGTATTCTATTGTGTGTGTGTGTGTGTGTGTAGTTGGTTCTTTTCCTTACCTTCTATATTTCTGTCAAATAGGAGAAGCTCAATAATGACTTAGACCATTTATTTATTCTCCTGGGATAATATTTTCACATTATTCATTCAGTACAGTATTGATTCATAAATTGCTTGTGGTTACATCTTGGGTGCAGCATTATTGGGGTGTGGTCACATGCGTTAGCTTATATGAAGGAGCGTTCGTCTTTTTTGGTGGAGTTCACGATGGGTAATCTTCGCTCACAGCTTATTCTAGAATTATTCTATTAATTTCTGTATTTATCTTTTTATCGCAAACATCACTTTAATTCAGTGTGAATAGAATGAAAGGCGAATCAGGAACCTTAATGCAAGTCCATTTATCATCGCTTCAAATCACGAGTATTATTTCAAGGTCCTTGCTCTGCGTAGATGCCGAACTGTAGATTGAATAAGCCTTCGGCATGTAATATCCACCGACCTATTGCGCATCGATGGGTGTCAATGCAGGTGGGTACCCATCATGGATAATGACTGGTATTACATACGAGACGTTATCAAACCTGGCATGCGCGTCCTAGTTGAAGTAATTGTGAGTAACTCATACCCTATGTTGACTTCTACTTGAAACATGAGACACTTCGTAATTACCCAGTGTGTTCTGAAATCTGAGTGCTTTTCTACGTGTGTACACAGGCCAAGAGAGATCCATATCGATTTCGATTTCCAATTGAGATGAGATTCGTGGACCCCAACATCGATCATTTAATGTACGTGTCTCTTTTTCATTATCTGCTCAATCGCAAGTAGATAGCCCTCGCTCTGGACTTGCTGGCAATGAAACTAACAGGTATAGAAACTGTTTCGTATCCAAGAAAGGTCAAGAATGACTTTGTCCCTCTACAATGTTTCATCCGCCAACAGAGTACTTTCCATGATGCAGATTCCGGAGATTCAAACACCCACCTATTTTTGGACGCGAAGGAGATCTTAATCTTGATGAAGTCGCGGTATGTGGGTTCTTCATCTGTATCATGTGTCGTAAATGTACTCACAGTATGTACTGATTCCGCTTTTGTGATAATAATCTGCTCAAAGCTAAAAATTATTTTGAGATCTCGTTATCCTGCGCAGAGAGATTCCAATAGACCCTATTACCCGAAGGTTCGTCAAGAGAAACCTGCTGAGGATGGTCAAACGAAGCCAGTTCATCCTGCAATTTCTAAGGTGAGCTAAACATGTTCATAAGCGGCGTACTTCGTAGGACTTCTTCTGGGTAGAAGATTATAACTTGCAAACGCAGTAAAAAGCAAGCAAGAATGCGATAACAACCTGCCAAAAAGCGTACTTCAATTAATGGCATTATTCTTATCTGATTCAAAACATCACGATTGTATGATTCATCGTGTTTGTGTACAATGGCTAACCCCTAATTGTTGATTCCAGCTGTGGCAACTACACCAAGCTGAACAGATGGTGTTGGACCATGAAGAAATGGGCGGTAACCTTGATGACGAGGAAGAGTTCGACGTATCCGGCTTTGATATTTTGCCTTACGACGAGGATGAGGATGAAGATGAGGATGAAGATGCGAATGATGTGGTAGTCACAGCTGAAGAGGATTTAGAAACTTTTGAACCACAATGGTTCCAGAATGGACTTGACGAGAGACGTGTTCCAACGCTTGTCTTGGTAAAGCAGCTGCTCTAAAAATGATTTTATTGACGATGTTATCAGTGATGACATTTCCTTTCACCTTTTTTTCTTCCGGATTGCCTCAAAATGTGTAAGTTTGAACACATTTTGATTTTTAAATGGATTTTTCTGACATTCACTAATGTGGCCATTGTGTAGAATACAAATCCAGAGGATCTTAATCTGGAAAGAGCGCGTGCTGAAAGAGAGGTACTCTTGCCTATGCAGAAATGCTTGTTGAATCTCAAGTGTAAATTTAACCCTTGGGATGTCGCGGAGTGATTTTGAATTCCACTTTCTGAATTCTGTATTCAAATTTTTTCACTCATACATGGTCATTCCAATTACAGGAGATCAAACGGCTAATGCTAATTGCAGAGGAAAAGGGAGAGGAATTTATTTGTCCTCCGTTGCGATTCGAGAAAAGAGTGGAAGAGCTAAACAACATGCACAACCAGCGAACCAAGGAGGAGTTTGAAGCCCTGCGACGAGATATTGCAGCGTGAGTTCTGTTCTGGAATCATCTTACCTTGAATCATAGAAATGCTTCAGCTTTGGTGGTTTGTTTTGGAAATTATTTGTGAAACACCTTTAATGCAGCTCTTGAAACACTCCAGGCTTCCCCCTAGAATTTCGACTTCCGTCCTTGTGTATTAAGAGGATATGCTCCTCTTACCTTTATTTAGTCGCATGAAAGAAATGCTACAATTTCCGTTACTCTTCTAAAACATCACTGTTGATTGTGTTGTTTCAGCCGGAAAGAATTAGGATTACCATTAGAGGAGCCTGGTCGTTATGCTGATAAAACGAAATGGGGGAAGAACCCCTATGATCCGAACGACCCTCGATTTAGGAACGATTACTGGGGTGATCCCTCAACCCTGAAGGATGAGATTCGCCGTGACAGGGAACCTCGTGTGGCCACTGTGGTCAGCGAAACTGCTGTAGTTGAAGACATAGAGGAAGTAGAGGTGGACGAGACAGAAGAACCCGTTGCCGATGACCCATCAACAATGGCAAAGAAAACAACCAAGAATAGGGATGGCTCAGTTTCAGTAGATGATGTGAGGACAATGTTCACCATGCAACCGGAGGTGAGTTTTGTTCTCAATTCTTATGTGCCAAGTGTGAGCTTAGATGTTTGGTTCAGGATTATTTTGATCACCGTGATTTCGTACTTGTATGAGTTCTTCAGTTTAGAAATTCGAAGGGTGTGCGGCGGCCTTCACTCGATTCAAATGTTCGAAAATCTTCGATATTTCAAATATTTGAACGGAATTACTTCATCTGCCTGACAGAGAGAGTTTTAAAACGATCTATAGTTGATTTAGCCGCATTTGAAGTATTTGTCTGACTTGGATTATGTTGGCAGGATTATACTGTAGCACCTGACGGAGCTGACGATGAGTTGGAGGTAGATGCAAGCGATTTGGATGAAGATATAGCCGACAGTGGTATCGACATGCCTGATAATAATAGGTAGTTGATCAGATGAATGATTGTCTCTTTAAAAGAAATTAATTTTCCAGTTATTTCAGAGAGAGAAATCAATGAGGACGTTTAACTGCTGTTCCATTCATGTTCTTGCATCGGGTGACTCAGAGCACAGGATATCAGGGCTCAGATAAGATTAATCGTTTTTACTTATGTCTGGAAAATTGGGTGAGCTTGCTTGGGTTGGAATAACTCTTGCCCAGGTTCTTGTTATGAATCCCATTCTTAGATTCTGACAGCTACTTTTTTTCGACTTGCTCCTTTTTCCTTTTTCCTTTTTTACCGGGCGACTTTGGCCCACTCCACGTGTACGACGCGTTCATGCCCTGTACTTATGGTGATTTCTTCGTTTCGTGTCTCGTGTCTGCTGATATCAAGGTTACTGCGTTCCGCAAACGATTGTACGCAGAGGGTTCCAATTTGTACAACTATCTGAGATACCTTAGTAAATTTGCAACGCTTACAGGGTAGAATAACTCATGTTTAGCACACACGAAGTTGATCTTCATGAAGTTTGTTGAGGTCAAGGTTATGGTATTGGGGCACTGAAGCTGAGGTGACTAAGAACATAATTTCGGAAGAACGGTATTCGTGGTCTTCAAGGTTTCTACTGTGCAGTCGGTCAGGAAATCGTGGAGTTCATGTCGACTTTGATGCCTTCCATCAAATCTCATAAATCCTTGCATTTAAAATATGAGATATATTACTTCCAATCACATCAGTAGAACGGATGACTTAAAAACGACCAACAAGACATTTTTACATCCTTGTGCTGGCAACCGTGAGAATGGCATGATACATCAAACCTTACATACGTCAAGGTCTGTTTCTATCTCATTGTTGCGTGATACATTTTGCGCGCTGCCAAATGGCTGTCACTTAGCACCGAAAGGTGATGAGACAAGTATCAATCCCACTTCTACAAATAGTCTAGAAATTCCTTTCTTGCGGACATACTTCAACTTCCGAAAACAGCTGTCTGTACTATTAACAATTGTTTGTATTTTACTCCCAAATAACGATGTACTGAAGTAGTATATATATATATATATATATATATATATATATTTTATAAAAGAAAATTGATGACATGGATTTTTTCCGCATCCAAGCTTTTGTATACAGTAATTAGTAATCTTGTGCTTGGACACACATCAATGGCGTAAAATTTAACTAAAATGATTGATACTGATATCATACAGAAGCTTGATCTCTACGTTATGAAGCACAGATCAATAATACTACAAGACAATGTATCAGTTACAAAATATTACATATGTATAATTTTCCACTTTTGTTTTGTTTTATTTTTTTATTATAGAAGTACAGAAAATGTTTTCACCAACCATTGGATTTTAGGTAATATTTCATAATTCAAAATAAAATTTATTTTAAACTTTAGAAGAAGGTAGGTGTTATTGACAGATGTGTGACATATACAGGAGTTTAAACTATATACTAGTTGATAGTAAAAAAGTGAGAATATTCTAATTACTATGAAAAGAATGTTGTGGGTACAATTCAAATTTTATGTTCTTATTTCATAATAAATTTAATTTTCTTTCCAATGGCAGCCAAATATAGCTGTTTTATATTATCATCTTGTGTTTTTTAGTTTTTAGTTTTTAATTTTTTAATTTTTTTTATCATTTTCTTCTCAGTGTATGGCGTTGCTGTGACAAAGTCAAATGATGTTGATGGAATGTCAATTTCATCTTGTCTTTACTTACCTTATAATAAGATTTAATGTCTCTATTGTAATTAATTTGTGTCATGTATGGTCTTTTGATATATATATTTCAATGTATTTTAGTCAATATCTACATTTAAAAAAAAGAAAAAAAGAAAAAAGGAAGTGACAAAATAATAAAAATAATAGTAAGAGTATTTTGGTTATCCTGTAAAGACTTGTAACATGCAAAGGAATTTATAAATCATGTTTAAAATAATTATAAAGAGTGATCAGATTGAGAATAAAGAGGGTATTAGTTTTAATTGTTAGATGTCAATTTTTGTAAAGCGAAAAGTCTTCTATAATTGTTTGTTGAAAATATTGTGCATGTCTAAGTTTTGAATTTTGATATTCTGTGTGTGTATAAGTTATATATATACATATATAGTATGATGTTGTAATCTTGCATTTCAATTCAGTTTATTCAAAAGAAACACGACTAAAATGTAAACAATAACAAAATCTACCAATCATTGCAAATTTATGTATATAAGAAATGAAATAGTTGGTAAACAACAATAAATATGATATTAATCTAAGCAAGTCTTAATATGCTTTCTGTTCAATCAAAGTCTTTTTTGCACCTAAAACATACACAAGAAAAAGTAATCAAGACAATCAGAAAATAATTTTTAAAGAAAACAAGAAAACAAGAACAAATGAACACGAACAGCACTCATATGGAACCAAAGACGTATCATAAAACAACATTTATTAATGCAATTATCACCAAACAAAAAGTTGAATAATTGAAAACTTTGACAAACATTCCTAACATGAATAATTTGTGTTCACTTACTGTTGGATTATATATGTGAACAATTTGGATACAAAGAAATGACATTGTAATTAATCAAGAATTTTACCAAGATAAAATTAGAAAATTGTGAATGCCACATCTTCAGCTGATATTATTACATTTCATGTGATCTTCACACATCTTAAATTGACTAGAAAGCATGCTTCTACACTAAGGCATGTTTGGTAGCCCAATATTTAATCGCAATATTGACCCAACAATAGAATGAAAAAATAAAAAACATGTTTTTGTCAACCAAAAAAACAAATAATTTTAATTTTAATTTTAAACTTAATAATTTTTTAGGAATATACATATTTTTTAATAAAATATTGCAACTTATTTTTTCATAAAATATTTTTTTGTGTCCTTCTTAACCACCATCCTTTCTTAAAGCAAAGAGAGGAAAATATGCACAAAAGTAAGAGACATATAAGCTAGTTGTCTACAAGGAGGTCATGTGGGGTGTAGCAATATCAAATGGGAGTATAGCATTAACGATTCTCTAAAATTACCAAAGGTAAATAAATAAATATTACTAATTAGAAAGGCAAAGTGGAACCTTCTTACAAAGCACGACAAGGACCAGAAACAAGAGCAATTGTACATCGAAAGGTCCTCAAAAAATTATATCATGTGTAACACATAAACTCCCGAAGGACAACTAAATTCCACAGAGTGCACTTCAAAACCCACTTGTGCAACCCCAACATGAAACCTCAAAAACACAGCACCTGAAACTTACACAACCCATAAAATGCTCTATATATATATATATATATATATATAATTCTTGTTGCGAAAAGGGGTCCTACCCGAAATAGTTCCAAATGTAGCAAAAGAGATACAGAAAAAATTAAGCACAAGATTGTACATGAAATTAATGAGGCCCCAGCATTAAATACCACAGAGCCCACCCACACTCTCATGCCATGTCCTGATCCAGAGCACCCAGAATTGAGAGCCAGGGAGTGAGAAAGTTAAACAGGCAAAAGGGAGAGCCAGGTATCAGCAGCAGCATCGTCATTAAAGCTCTCGCTGCAGAAGCAGCTTCCCTGCCAGCCTGCGGTGCCACTTACCTGGTCTGTCTGGCTATCTATCCGTCTGGGTGTGTCTGTCTGTGCAACGGGAGGAATGCGGCCCTCACCCACATACATACACTGTTGCAGGCATGTCGACGTGGAGTTTCTAGCCATTAATGGATGTGGTTGAATGTTAGGAGGAGGATTGACAACGCTCTACTTTCTCCATCACAGTCCATGTGAGCTTCCCTTAACCAGGACTTTGGAATATCCTTGACCAATGAGAAGGGATAACCAACCCACCAGCACCAGCACCAGCAGGGCAATGTTCTCAACATATCCACGCCGCGCTCAAACGGACTGTTGGCGTTCCACCGGGGAGACGATGAAGACGAGGCGCATCCAAAGTGGGGTGGGATTAGAGATATTGCGTTGATCGGTTTGCGAGCTGGATTTAGTAAAAACTAGCCGTGGAACCCACTTTGCAGCAATCTCGAGCTGAAGCCCGCGAGAAGCTAAATCGGGAACCGGGTGTTGAAGTATGGAATGTGGCGATCCAATTGTGCTCGGGCGCTTGTGGGGCTTTGTGGGTCGGGCCGTTGGATGGGGTTCAGTCTCGGGATTGCTGCCTGACCGTCCACACAGAATTCGTTGCTTCGGCGCAGAGCTGGATCCCACTTGATCTCACAACTAGAGCCAGCTAGCCCGTTGCTGCTCGTCCGTCGTCGTCCTCCTCCACCTCTTCCTCTTCCTCCTCTGCAGCAACTCAGGAGTTGCGAATATTATAAGTGCGTTTTTTATGCTAATCATTTTGCTTGTGCGAGAGCATGAGCGGAGACGTTGCAGTGACAAAATCCTGAAATCGTCTCGGCCTCCAAGGCGGCTCGCTCCGGCTCCCTTTTCACTGTTCACGCTGCGATCAGGAGTTGCCATGAGTCATAGCCTCCATTCACAAGGTCAAACCAAGCATCATCTCAAACAATTATAATACATGGAAAGTCTCCTCTACAAACAGTGTCGGGTTGAAACAGCCATAATCATGTAATTGCTCCTCTTTCTTTTTTAATGGACGAAGATGCATATGGACCTGTTTCAAAATTATTTTGTTCGAGCACAAGAAATAAGTCAATTCAAGGGATTCCCGGAAGGCCAAGTTTGTGATTGGATCCAACTTTTACAGGAGTTTTGCTGTGCCAAGTAGTTATGTCTAAGTCACTTTTTGTTTCATTCCTTTTAATCTCTGGTATAGTGAAACAAAATTGCTAAGTCATGTACTGTGAGCCAATACCATGACTTCCATAATTCCAAACTCATTCAGTAGGCTGTGGGGATGAGATGATGCTCTGGAGCCCTCTGCACAGTAGCACCAGGAGCATTTGCGAGTAGGAGCACTACTCTCATTTTATCATAGGATTAAGTAACTATTCAATCACAATAGTTAGGAGTACTTTACTTCACACCGATCTCTTTGTTGTACTTGCATCGCCTGTCACAAGGTAACACTGTGGTGGAACTGCGGCATAATTAGGGTTTTTACTAAGGTTACTTTGATCGTTCCACAAGTGATTTGACAATATCCTTACAGTCAATATTCAACATGGTTTTGTATGAGGAAGTACTCAACGCGAGTATGGCTCATGCTCCAGTGGCACCTACTACTTCAAAGGAGAGAATGCAATTGGAAAGAGCATGCAAGCATG